ACGGCGGCGGGCCCGGGGAGCGGGCGGGTCCCCTCAGCCCGGCCCGCACCCACACGCGAGGGAGGCCCGGCCCGGTCCGGCCCGGCCCACGGAGCTGCTCTGCCCGGAGGCACCGAGGGCCCGGCACCGCCGCTCCCCGGCCCCAAAGCCCTCTGCTCTCCCGCTCCTCCGTCCCCCGCTCCTCACCGCCCATGCCCGGCCGGGCCCCGCCGGTCCCGCGGCCGCCGCCGCTTCTCGGACACCGCCGACCCGGAAGCGCCGCGCGGGCCGGAAACGGCGCCGGTCCCGCTCCGCCCTCCGCTCCCCGCTCCTCCCTCAGCTCCGCCCCCCGGTCCCGCTCCACCCTCCGCTCCTCGCTCCTGCTCCGCCTCCCGGTCCCTTCCGTCCCTCAGCCCCGCTCCGCCCTCCGGTCCCGCTCCTCCCTCAGCTCTCCGCTGCTGCTCCGCCCTCAGTCCCGCTCCTCCCTCAGCTCTCCGCTCCTGCTCCGCCCTCAACTCCGCCCCCGGTCCCGCTCCTCCCTCAGCGCCCCGCTCCGCCTCCCGGCCCTTTCCGTCCCTCACCCCGCTCCTGCCGCTGTACCAGCCCGGAGCGGACTATGCGGCTCGGTACGAGCGTTTATCACAGTTTATTGACAGCACAGTCCGCCGGCGGGGCCGGGGCGGCCGGGACAGGGACAGCGAACGGCTCGGACACGGCACAACCGCGAACACCGGGCGGGAGCGGCCCCGGCGCGGCACGGACAAAAGCGAACGGAAATCTCTCCAAAGTCTCTGGAAAGGCGGTGGCGAGCAGGACGCGGGGCTGGCTCGGTCTGTGGTATCGGCCCGGTACCGCAGCGGCTGTGTCCCGGTCCATGGCGGCTTTCGCTTCTCCCCGCAGTGTCCAGCAGTAACACAAACACGCTTCTTCCCGAACAACAGCACAGTCGCTTCTGGCAGCACACTGCTTTGGCGACTACAGATCCCTTGCAAAAAAAAGTCCATTTGCTCCAAAAAAAGTTTATTTATATATCTCTATATATTTTAAGGAAAATATCCGTTTTTACCAAAATACGATATACAGGCACACAGCTGTAAAATAACTTTAAACCAATTCACTATAAAATTACTTTTGGTAATAAATAATTTGATTCTCAGAGAGGCAAAACTCTCCCTGTACCTCTGCAGCTGGGCTGCCCGAGGCACGGTCCCTCTGCATTTCCAGAACGCTCCCAAAAAACTCCCACCTGCTCTCCCCTCATCCTTCTTGCTGGGCCTTGCCCAGGGCAGAAGCAACTTGTGCTTTTCAGCCTGCATGAGGCAGAATCCTGCTCCCAACAAACCAGTTCAATGGCAGAATGGTAATAAACACGTGCCAAAAGCCATCTGTGAAGTCGGGGGGCAGATGCTCCCGGCAGGGTTTATTCTGGAAGGAGCAGTTGCTGGGACTGGGCTGGTGAGATTTTATTCTGTTCTGGGGCTCCTGCAGGCCAGCAAGCTGTGCTGGGTCTGCTCCCGACAGCAATGAAACCAGGGACAAAATATCTACGTGTGCATCTGGGATCTGGGCAGAATTCAGACACAGTCCTTAACCCCAAGAAGGGTCAGACTCAGAAATCCTGAACTAACTCTCCTCAGTCTTGGCAGAGTAATGGTTTAGACAGGAAACAAAAAGTGGCTGTCACTCCTATATCTAAAGCAGTTACGTGTGTCCTCAGCTCTATTGAGCAGATCTCTATTGATCTTCAAAGCACCTGAATACATTTGGTCACAGAACAGTATTGCTCTAAAAGTCTGATGTTACAAATGTCAGAGAGCCCCTTCAGGAGTGTATCGTCTGCTCTGGAGAGCTTTGCCCCAGCTGCTGTGCCCAGTCTGACCTTATGAGGCACACAGAGCAGTTTTCAGCTCTCTGTATTAAATTGTTTCCCTTGTTCATATAACTGTTCCTGCCTGCAGAGCTCCCTCAGCCCCAGAGCAGCCACAGCCACCACAGACCAGCTCCCAACATCACCAGGACTGAGTGAGGCTGCACCACTGAGCTGCACTTGGACACTTACTGAGGAATCAAACACAGGCAAAGCTCTTACAAAAGAAACCTCAAGACAAAACAGTTGTTCAGACAGATTCTGAGATTTTTAGCTTTGGGAAGGAGCAGACTTGCAGCACAGCATGGTTACAGGACACGGGAGGCAGTGAGGCAAGGGAGGTTCTTCCTAACTCATGCCAGGGATGGGCTGTGGAACAGCACTTCCATCCCATCCTTAGGGGAGAAGCCTGACCAGAGCTACTCAAATTGTAGCTTTTGAAGATGATTAATTGAAGCCAAATTTCCTGTTGCCCTGATCTGTTTCCTATGATCCTTTAAAGACATCTCTGCAATCTCCCTGGAGAACAGTCTTGAGGGGTTATTCAGTCATGACTTGACAGACATTATTTTGTCTGAACTACTCAAAGAGAGAGACATCCTGAAACTTCTCAAGAAAGCACTCCAGGGAGCAAGTCCTGTTTGCACAGCTCATGGAAGTTAGTGCTCCATTTAGCTGGTGCACAAAGCAAAATGACACATCACATCCCAAGAGGAATTAAAAACCAGAGCATTAAAGACTCATAACCCTGCATTGCCCTATCACTGTTATTTTGAGAAGTCAAAGGGGGAAAAAAGGCAACAGCAGTAACTTTGGCAAGATGTTCCAAAGCCAGTTTGAGCAGGAGCACAAACCTACTGTGGGAGCAGGATTCATCTGAGCACACCACATGCAGGGAGTAGGGAGCCAGGCAGGAGCAGTCCTGTAAGGACACAGCTGGTCCAGTTCACCTTGTCCTCTCAATGTATTACATGCAGAATTTATCCCTTTAATTTGGCATTGCCTGGTGCTGGCAAGTCTTCTCCGCTAATATAAGCAATAAAGATACATGGAGAAAGGGAGAGCGAGACAAGAGGGAAGGCATCAGGCCTGAGAAGAAAAGGATTTGTTCTCTTCTCACTTAAAAATGGTTCAGTCTTTGCTTCGCTTCCACACTGAGGACTGTGAGATACAGAAACCAGATTTTCTTCAGTACACACAAGCATACACCGAGAGGTACCTACGACCATAGCACAGAGCACACAGTAGCACAAGTTTAGAATGACTTAGTTTAAACAAGACAAGCTTTTACTTGGAGGGGGAAATATCAACATTTTCATCTTGAATGCAGTTCTTTGGGTGGGAAAGAAGGGGCTGGCTCAAAATCCAAGACCAGACACTTATCCTAGCTACAGCTAGAGCAGACAGAGGCTATGAGCCCCCTGCTTCCACAGTACAATTCCATACGCCTCCCAACACAACAGGAGTGAAATCTTTATCTTTGAACATCCCAGCACTGGACCTTCTAAAAAAGATCAGCAGGTAAGAGGAGAATTAGGAACCTCAAGAATTAATTTTTGACTTGGACAGTCATTGCTGCTAAGTTCAACTTCTGAACTAATTTTCAAGGCCTATATTCTCCTCCTACATTCCAGCTTCTTCAGGGCGTTTTGTATTTTAAAAAGTGCATTCTTCTCTGATGAGATCTACCTTGGCAAAAAGCAAACAGAACTTCCTCGAAGGGCTGCAAATGGTAGAAGCCTCTCAGGTCACAAGCAAGGACTCCCCACTTCAGCCTGGCTAAATGAAGGTGAGGACCACACCAAGGCTTTCCCAGTCAGTTCACAAGCAATGTCCCAGAGGTTCACCAGCCCACACGAGTGGAATTATCATCATCATCATCATCACTCCTCTGCTTGGAAACAGCATACTCTTTTCTTTTCCACAGAGATGGAACCAAAATAAGAATAGCTTCATCAAAGCAAAAGCTAAAGCAAAGCAAAAGCATTTGGTTGGAAGGCAGTGAGCTGGGGAAAACTCAATTCCCTTTTTCATGCAAGCTGAACACTGCTGGTAGAGGAACAGCAACAGAAAACCTGCCTCTCACTTGCTGCTGCATTAAAGGCTTCCTGCATCTTTAGCCTCCAGACACAATCCCACGTTTTAGCAACTGGGAGCCTCCTACCAGGCAGAAAGGCAGGGATCAGCTTCACAGGAAATACATGGATCTTATCACTGTAATACATACAGGGGTACCAGTTCCCCTGGCTAACTAAGGGCTCCTGTACCTGGAATCAGTTATCAATTACTTCAAGGTCCAAGGGTAAGTCCCTGGAAACAGCAAATTACAGTGGCAGAAGAGCCATAACCTTTAGCACAACCATAAATGATCTGCAGCACCTTTTGGAATCCACCCAACATGGTGTATGTGTGTATATATAAATTTTGTATATAGACATTGTAGTGGTTCATTCTTTTTAATACATATACAAGTACCTATACATATATACATATTTACAATTTACACCAGCCAGTAGATGTATGTGTACTGTACATACACACACAAACACCGAGCACACACATGCACACACACAAACACACACTCCTCAGAACAGACTCCACAGCCTGGGAAATGAAATCCTGCCAGAGTCCAAAGAGCAGCACCAAGGGGGAGTCTCAATGTACCAGCTTCAAGACTGCTTAGGACAAACACAAGCATTCACAGGATTTTGTACACTTGGGAAATAAAGAATGGATGGTGCAAGCTTCAGCCCAGCTACAAAGAACCTTCATGCAAACTCCCTAGCTACACTGCAGCTGTTCCACACTGTGCTCCCTCAGCAGAATGATCCACTGGTGCTGTTGTGGCTGACCAGGTCACACCCCGAGTGTGATCTGCAACCAGGATTGCCATGACACCATGGCAGTCACCAAGTTCTGCACTGTTTCCACCCAAGCACAGAGGCATGGCTGGGGTTCAACAAAGAGCACTGACTGGACTTGTCCTCTCACTTCTTTTCTAGCCTTTGGAACAGTGACAATTGGCTTTTCCATTTAATAAAGTATCTCCATTCCTTCATCCTTGCTCTCTCTCCCTGCCAGGAGCTTCCAGAGCTCCTCTAGCTCTGCAGGGCAGGCAGTGCAGCCCCAGGTGAGCCAGCCAGCACCCTCCCCAGCAGCCACAAGAGCCTCCTCCACCCAGCCCCTTCCCAAAGGCCACTGTGCTCCTGCACACACCCAGGCTGAGCTCTTGGGCTGGGGAGCCAAAGGTGCTGCCACAGGTTCAGCCCCTCCTGGTTCCAGGGCAGGGCTGGGTCATGAGGGGACATGCAAAACATCCAGAGGGTCACAGCAGCTCCCACTTGGTTTCACCTGACAGGGGAACATCAGCACCTCTCCTGGGGCTGTGGCACAGCAGGGTCAGACACACGAGTGACAGCAGGGGCTGGCACAGCACTGTCACATCAGCAATAACTGGGACATCCCCCCTGCTCCTGCCAGGGAGTGCTCGTGCTGTGGGAGCCACACATTCCATCCACACACGGACAGGAGGGGCAGCACCTGCTGGAAATGCTGCAATTTCTAAACAGTCCCTCCAACTGCAGGATGCCCCCTCCTCCTGTGACAGGGTGCCACACATGACAGTGAGAGCTGGGGGCTGACGTTCAGGGTTTGCAGTTTGTTCACCTATTGACCACCTGCCCAGCCAGGTCCTTGGCCAGCAGCACACAGTTCAGACAGAAAACTGCTGTGCCAAACTTACAGGGAGCATGAAGTATCTTTACAATTTCACTTCAAAGCACTGCTCCAAATGCAACTTAATTGTCCACAGTTTTGTCTCCTCACTTGCCTAAGACTGAAAAAATATATTTGTTATGAAGGAATCTGTGTTATTGCTATTGTTGGTTTGCACTGTGTGGTTCCATCTTTACCATTTCAAATCCAAACTCTTTGGGGATAAAATATTGGTTTTTTTCTGTTGATTTTTTTTTCTTTCCAATTTCTTAAAATTGTATAAAAATAAAGGATTTCCACAAATGTGGGCTAAAGGTAACCAATAATACTTCTATGTTAGGATCAGCTGTTGGAAATGTGGTTGACAGCCACAAGACCAGAAATAAACCTCTAGTGATTCTTTAGTTTAACATTTAAAAGACATGAAAACTTCTGCTTATAAAATTGACCCCATACAGAATGGAACAGCTCAACTAACAGCTGTTTATTATTACTTTTTAAAATAATGGTCCTAAATTTAAAAATAAAATCAAGTACTTCCTTTTATGATTTTCACATTATAAAACTGCACCATTCAAAATCTGTGGCCAGGGAATCCCCTTTGCAGTAAGACAGTTTCTTTTAATAGTCATCGAGTGTGTTTTCCAGGAAAACATTCCTAACATCCAGTATGGAAGCCAGCTCCAAAATGTGCTTTTGGAGGTGAGGGTTCTCCACCGTTTCATCTCTTGGCAGCTGAGGATAAGATTCAGGATAATTTCGAGTCTCCTGCTAGATGACAGTGAAAACAAAGAATCAGACACTCATTTCTTTCACACCCTCTAGGAAGAAGACTGCAAGAGGCCAATTTCACCTTAGTCTATTCAGTATGCCACAGAGACAGAAAATAATCTAGAATTTTCAGTTTTCTCTTTCCATTGACTCAGAGATGGTCACAGTGGCAATACACAAATGCCTGTTCATCTCAGACAGTTATTGGTATGTTTATTGAGGCTTTGCAGAAAAAATATAAAACCACTAAAAGAGACAAAAAAATATTCACCTGTACTTACCTACTAGGCTGGAGTTCATTTCTTGAAATTACAGACATGTAAGCATCTCCAGTGGGAGATTCATCTCATCCTAAAACAAATATCTAAGACACTGGGGGCAAATCTCTCCCCACTAACACAGACCTGCTTCTTTTCCCTGGTATCAGAGCAGCCCAGGTAGCTGTCTTAGCCTTGGAGAGCTGCTGGATGTCTGCAGCTCCACAACTGAATGCTGCACCTTTCAATGCTCCAGTCCCACTTTTCCCTGCAGTATTTAAAATGGAGCAGGCAGTTTATATGCCAACACTCACATAAAATGGTGCAGATCCAGAGCAGACTTCTGTGTTGGCACAGCTTTAACCAACAGAGAGACAAAATACCATCTTCCTATTTAGTGTATTCATTTACACTTCAAAGACCTTTCAAAACCCATTCACATGAAAACGTTCCAGGAATCATGACCCATTCCTCCCCACTTCCTCTTGTATTCTTGTTCTATACCTTTTTGGTTGTGTAGAAATAATAATCTTAAGTTATAAAGAGGGATTTTTCTAGCAGAGAAGGCTATCCAGAGTGCCATAACTGAACTGGAGTGTGCCTGCTGTTTTAGGTGCAGGACTGAGGCTCCTGCAAGCCAAAGGCTTCGTGCCTTTGGAGAGACAAGCTGCAGGGACAGCATGTGAGCATCAGTCACCTTTCTGAGGTCCCTTGGACCCTCCCACCTGAGCCAGGACAGTTCTGGGGCTCCCACAAAGGCACAGACATCCCTGCATACCCGGAAGATTTTGTGCATCCTCATAGTAGCCGAACAGAAGATAAATCTTGTGAGAAGCAAGCGAAGAAATTCATCCCCAAAAAACTGAAGAAAGGACTGATCTGTGCAGAAGGCAAAGAAAGCTCAGTTTAGAAAGGCTCAAACCCTCCCAAAAAGGCTCAGCTGGGCCTGGCCAGGCCGTACCTATGGATCTGGAGTGGGTCAGCAGCTGGGCAATGTCCCGGTTGATTTTTCTGAGGTAATCCTGACACTTCTCCCACAAGCCTCGGCGCATGCTTGATAATCCAGAGACAAACAGGAATGCCATTAACGGATTGTTCAGAAAGAGTGTGAAGAGGCTACCCCGCTGAGACTGATCTAAAAGGAAAAATAAATCAATAGACAAAGGGATACATTTGGCACATGAAACAGAAAATGTCCCTGCCACACAAGGAAGTCGCTCACCCGCTAAATTCCCTCACAGAGAGCCAGTCCTGTGTGTCAGCTGCACCTTCTCTCTGCAGACCAGCGACTGCCACTGAAGGCCTGCTGGAGATGGGCATTGACACCAGGACACCTCCACTGACTCTGCTCCCTTCCTGGGGGCAATAAAGCTGCTCAGAGCTGTGAGAACCACCATCACCCCACGCTGGGCTGCCACCTCCTCAGCCTCCTTGTAGGAGGGAGAGCCTTTGCTCCCAGCTCTTGTTGGAGCCATCTGTGGAAATGTCATCAGCATTGGAACAAATTATCTACCAATACAACAGCTAAACTTTATCATACTACTTCAGGGACTGGTAACCTGATTTAGGGTTAAACAGCAGTGAGAAGCTGTCTTTTCCTGAGGAATCTAAGTTCTGTTTGGCACAGACACAGGATGCAACTGCAGCTTGTTGGGAAATGCAATACTGCACATACCTTGTAATGCTTTTGGATATGCTGTTGGAGAAAGCAAGCACACCAATGGCTGTCCAAATAAGTTTGTGAAATTCTGTAACAGATAAGAATTTTGAAGTATTGATGGTCACTTTGCTTGCCTTGAATATTCAGCAAGTCAAGGGTACAAATCATATTAATGACAGAAGACACTAATACCCCTCACACAGCACAGCATTGGCAATGAGCCTGGCAAGTTCACTTACTCAGAGATCACAGCACAGAAGGAATATAACCAATTACATTTTAAAGGAATTACAATTCTCTCATTTCATTGCTACTGATGGCAGACACTAATTTCATGGAAATTGGCTTTCAGTAGTAACACATTACTTGAAAATAAAAAAATCATGTTCTGCAGTAAAAGTGAGAGCAATTGGGTTTAGCATCTTCCCTCAACACCAACTGAACTGCCCAGTCAAAAACATTTCTTTCCCCTTTTCTTTCTAGCAGGAAGAGCTAGGCCTGATGAAACAGGAGAGCCCAGAGAAAAGATTTAAAGTAAGCTTCCTTTAAAGCAAGTGTGTCTCAACCTTAACATCTGCTGTACTGAACCCTCATTTTACAACTCTCATTTCATGCCCCTTTCACCAGCACCTTAAATGTTGCCAGTGTCCAATTGCACAAGAATTTCTCCAGAACCTGAAACACCACCACTGACCACTTTCAGCAATATTTACCCAATAACAGTCCTACTGTGTATCTGTCTGGTGGTAAACAATTATCACAAAGGGAAAAAAGCTAAAAATTATGCACAAAACCTCATTAGCTCTCACCAGAACAGCTTTCTTAAAACTCAAGGCTTGCAAAACTACAGAAAATGTGATTGTCTGCATCCTTTCAGAGCACAGAATCAAACCTGCCTCCAGAGCAAGAGTGCCACACACATCTGCAGATTAGATTCTTAAAACTGCAGTTTACAAGTGTAAGACATACACCACCACAAGCATTTGCCTGTATAGAATCCTCAAAAAGTTAATTTTTTAATTCCTTTTAGCCTCTGCATAATTCAACTGAATTTTCCTTTCCAGGCAGTATATTTCAGTTATATTAGTTTTACAGAATTAATTTGATCTAAATCTGCTAAATACTAGAGACAGAAACCTGGTCTAATCAAAATAAAACATTTCCTATCTCTGACAGAATGCTGAGTAGAGCTAAAAACCCTTCTAGTTCATTAGGAGCCCAGGGAAGACTGATAATGCTGGATACTAAGGTTTGATCTCTAAGGAAGAAAGAAAAATAACTCCCTTGCAGACATTAACAACAGGCCAGCCCAGGAAATGGTGAAAAAGTTCAGGAGTCACTGCAGACATTGCTGGAATGAATTGTACACACACTGGCAAGGTTTGACCTTCTGCAGTAACTCGAATCCTGAGCAGACTGACATGTTTAATTAATTCCATCGTGTGTCACTCAGGCACAGACCAAAGCAGCCACGCCAGCAGTGAGACTGCAGTGTCCCTGCAGTCCAACAGCCACGAGCACCCCTGGGTCACCTGTGGCTCTCAGGCACTGGCTGGGAGCACTCTGGACTCTGTCCCAGCACAGGTTAAGCCAGGAAAACCTGCCCTGCAATCCACATGTTGACAGGAGGTCTAGATATGGAATGCCCTACCCTTCAGTGCATGGAGAACTCCAAAAAGGATAAACTCCAGCTTGTTTCAAAATTGACTGGTTTTTTTACTCCAGTGTTCAAGTTTTCCAAGAGAAGTGCTGCTGACTTTTACAATGCATGTCATGTACACCTTCCAAGAAAGAGCTGTCCATCTTCCAAAAGAAGTCACTTCACATTTAAGCTTTGCTAAGCCAAGTATTTATACCATACCACTGACAAAGGCCTTGCTTTCTCACTGGCTGGAGGTTTTGGTTTGGTTTTAAGACTTTGCATTTTACCATGATCCTAGACAACCACGGCTACAGGAAGATATTGATTTAAAAATATTATTTCATCCACATATGCAGTGGTAACCTTACAAGAACACACAGACAGCTATATTTAAATTGAAGTGTTAAAAAAAAAAAAAAAATCACGGCTTTCAGTAGATCTGCTCGATTTGCAGTTATCTTCCACTTTCAGCTAAATATACAGGGGAGGAAGCTGTTCAAGTGCCGCTGATTTGACAAACTGGCAAGTCACTTCCTGGCAGGACTTACTTTCAGTCATCACCATTTAAGTCCTCCAGAAAGAAGGAGAGGATGGGGATGCGTGCAGGAGAGCAGGAACGGGCTGCAGAAAAAGATGTGTGAGCAGTTGCTGTTCCTGCTGGTACTGCTGGCAGTGACATTTAAATGTCAGGATAGCTCCTGTCCTACCAGGAAGGATCAGAGCAGCCACGTGGAAGAGTCAGTATTGACTTCAGTTCCTCACAGGGTTGCACAGAACCTCTTTGTTCATGCCAGCACTTGAGCCTCCAGACACCTCCCAGCCCCCTGGGGACAGTCACAGCTCTGCCAGGGCACTCTGGGACCCCAGCACAACCACAGGCAGGAGTGTACAAGGGCTGGAAACACTGACCTTGAGAGCTCTGCCATGAACCTTCAGTGGAAAACAAAACAAGCCACCTAAACCAGTACCCTCACATGTCTGCCTATGTTCAGTGGCAAGAGATGGGGAAGGTGAGTGTCACTTCTAAAATGCTGAACATATTTCTTTTTAGGTTCCTTGCAGTTTTGCCCACACTGTTCTGATCTGGGTCAGTGCTCCTAGAAGCCACTTCTATAATCCTGTCCTGAAATACTTCCAAAGCTCACATTTCTGTGCTCCTTCCACACAGTCAGAGCTGGATGCTCTTCACCAGCTGTGCTGAACAGACTGATGGGTTTTACACCCCTGCCAGCTCTCACTGCAGAACAAGGAAAAGAAACTCAATGAGAGATTAAATAAATGAAGTGCTGCTTTTTAAACACTACAACAAACCAAAGAGCCAACAGAGAGGACAGATCATTACCTGCCTGTCAGGCAGGAGTTCCCTGGCTCAGTACAGAACTATCCTGAATCACACTGACCACTGATTTAGTACCTCTCCTTGGCCAACACATGCCTTCAAAACAACCAGCACAGCCTGTGGACACTGAACAAGGCACAAGTTCCTCTGGCCACTAGACGTCCCTGTTCCTCCTCTGAAACGCAGCTGTGGATGCTCCCTTCCCTCACTGCACATAATGGAGCTATAAAAAGGAACACAGAAGAAGTGGCACTTTCCCCAGATATAGCACATTCTTATTACCCCATTCATGAATGAAATACATGTGTAATGCTCTCCAGATTCAACTGGCCACCACGAGTGCAATGCCTGCTTCTGTATTACCCGAACTGCAGATTCCCAGAGGTGATTTGGCATGGAGCAATTCTACTGTAAGTCCAGAGCACCCTAGGAAGGAGGCTCAGTGTCCAAGCAAACACCACTCTACAGTGACACTGGATGCTAATTTGAGGCTTGTTACTTCCTTGGTTCAGACATTTTTCAGACACAGACACCCCGTGTTTTATAAGATCAGGCTCAATGCTTTGACTCCTTTCTGTTGCTTTAAAGCAACTGAATGTTGGATGACTGGAAAAAAGAAAAGCACATTAGTTATCTCCCTCCCCCATGCACACACACCGAGATTTGTCTTTGGTATAAAACAAAAGTAAACCTCCCACCAGAGACCTTGGAAATCTTGAACCTTTTTCCCTCCAGGAGGATTTATTACTTTCCAATGAGCGGCTGTTCATGTGCTTCTCCTTCTTGTTCCTATTCATAGGGTCAGATCCTGACTAGCATGCACAACCTCAAAAGAAAAGAAAGACTGAATACAAACTGTTTAAAAAAATAGCCTGTTAGAAGTGTAAGCTAACTAGGGGTTGGCACTGTATCCTACCACACGAGAACTGCCTCCAAGGCCTTACCTTGTAGGCCACGCTGTTGGAAGAGTCCACGATGATGAACAGGGGCTTTCTGGTGAAAGGGTAGAGATCTCCAGGGTGAAGGCTGCAAAGAGAAAGGGACACCTCAGAGCACCACAACTGCTGCACAGCTCTGACACTGCACAAGCGTCTCAGCCACACAGTTGCCCACAGCCAGATAGAAAGCAGACAGATTTCCCACGTCCCAGTCCCCAGATTCATCCTCAGACAGCAACTGCACTATTGTCTATAATATGGGCTGTGGGACTTCTTACTAGTTCAAGAGATGTTTAACTTCTTGAGAAGTCATCCACCACTGATCTGAAGTTTTCCAGTAATTAAGAACTTAATTAACTTACATAAGTAAGGTTGAAGTGTTTAATCATTTAAAGCTGCACATTCATCTCTAAGCGTTCAAGCCAACCCCCATTATGATGCCCTGCCCTGAGGAGTCTGAACTCCAGAGGCTTGGATGCATTTTCCTCTGTTAAAGGCAAACTCCTGTGAACGTGCAGGTGTGCACCACGACACTGACCAGTGCATCTCCTTGTAGGACTGGTTGCGCTTGTGGATGGCGTCCCCGTTGATGATGTCCCGGTTACTGTTGGTCAGCACACCCCCAAAATCGTAGGGACCTTCATGGGGGAAAAGGAAGCTGAAATCAGCAGGGGAAACTCACCCCTGTTAGACATTCAGTGCTTACACGGAAGGGAGGAAGCAACAACAAATCCCAGAAAATTAAGGGAATCTGAACCACTGCAGTTGTAAGGAGGGGAGAGAGGAATGTGGAGATTTCACTAACTGTATATGCCTTTTTATGCTTTTCTAGAAATTTCAGCATCTATCAAATAGAAGCAAGGAATGCAACTTCATAATTTCTAATTTAGTTATTCGCTATTTACCCACAAACATTAATGCAAGTGATCTAAATATGGGCTCTTGTTACACTATAGAGAAAAAAGATTAAAACCCATTACACATCTGAACAGGAAAATTAATACCTTTGTAAAATTACTATATGAGTTTGCATATTCCAGAGTCAGAATTTGATCATAAAAAAATAAGGCTAAATGCATCAAAAAGACTAGAAATACTACTGTCATTTGCAGTTCTAACACTGCAAAGGGGAGAAGAGAGAACTCGGAGAATGGCAAAGGCACAACACAGCTTTAACCAGATTTCAAATCTGTAGCAAAGGTTTGTATTTCATGATTTCCAAGTCAGAATTCATAATTTTCACATGCACATGCCCTGGACATGTGTTCCCACTGTAAGCTGAATATTCTGCTAAATTTGCAAAACTAAGCTACCCCTGAATGTCTGATAGAGTGCAAAGACGAAAGCAACGGCTATAAAAAAATATCTAATCCAAGATACCAAGAAATATTTCTGCCATTGGTATGGGTATGAAATATCACTAACTTTAGTAAAATAAAATATTAGAGTTTCCTCATTCTGTCATACATTTGCAGACATGGCTGACCCACATTTGGCCACCAAATGCAACTTTTTCAGGTTTGGATACAAGGCGCCTTTCCACTTAAGGGAAGCTTTGGGGATACAAAATCAGGAACAGAACAAACATTAATTTAGCACCGTTACAAACACCTCACATGGTCTGCCAAACACACGGCTTGCAGGCAATGCACAGTGCAACTTGCAGCTGCTCTCCCTTTTAATAAGGCAGAACTGTGTGCAGACCACACCACCTTATTAAAAGAATGCACTTGTGATGGATTCAGTGAGCAAAAGCTGCACTCTGGATGTGCAGCTCCTCTGTGACTGAGCCTGGATGCCTCTGCCACAAGGTCTGAAGCTGAAACAACACATGCAGAGAGGGGGACATACCACAGGCTTCAGAGAGCACACTTCAGTTAGGACCTATCACCAAGCTGCAGCAAGAAGTAAAATGTTAAAAGCATTTTAAAAAATCACTGCCACCATCCAAAGCTGACAGGGATTTTTTTTTTTTTCTTTTAACATTTTGAGAGCTCTATAAATCATGCACTGGGGAGGACAAAGCATGCATCTTATAAAGGAATGCAAGTCTCAAACAGATGAGGTTTTTACAATATTTAGGATGTTAAAAAGTTATTTTGATTTTTTTTCTTGAATTATATAAACAGATCTTTGGACCATGTTTACTTCAGCCAACCAGTTTTCAGCTTTTACATTGCAGCTGCATCCAAATATTCTGCTAGATTGAAAAGAACAGGAGGGTGAGGTGAGGGGAATTGCCAAAAATCATGAGAAGGGCTTGAATTGTCAGGTTAATGAGCGTGCAAATAAACCAGTCCCTGCAGCTGCTTGAGTCCTTTCACCACCCATGTCCTGGCCACACGTTCTCCTGGTGCTGGGCATTGGAAAGAATCACACAGTGCCACTGAGCCATTTTATCAACTTTGTGCTGATGCATCAGCTGAGCCATGTGGTCTTCAAAATTAGGAGGCTTTTAATACTTCAGATGCATCAAAAACTGGATGTGTCCTTTGAAAAGTTCTCAGGTTAATGCACACTAATTAAAACACAAAGATTTAATTATTGTTTGTGGAAAACAAAGGCTATCTTACTAAGTAGACAGGAGAATCGAATTGACTTGTCTTTTTAAAGGAGCTTTGTGACATCTTTCTTGGTCACTTGTCCTGGAACATAAAGAGAATTCAAGCCCTGTTCATGACAGGGAGCATTCCTTTATTGTACCTTCACTATCCGAACGACCTGATGGGAACACGCCCGTGGCAGACAGGTAAATCAGCAGCACGCTGTTGGCAGGCAGCTCCTGCAATGCAAACAAGGGCCCCAGTGCCAGGGGGAGAGAGGTACAACTTTATTTGAATACTGAATCATCACCTTCATAAACACACTGTCATTATAATTGTGCTATTCTTGCCTCTGGCTGCCCTCCACTCTGCTCTTGGTACATGGATTTGCCCAGCCCCACCACACACACCCCTTCCAACAGGCCTAAAGTGTCACCTCATGAAATGTCTGCAACTTTTCTCCACACAGACCTCTAGGCTGACATCAGAGCTCCAAGCAGCACTGAGAAAGCATCACCTTCAACACAGACTCTATCTATCGAGATCTGAAGCTCTCCAAGATACGGAACCCAAAACTGCCAAGATCCACGCAGACCCCAACTCCCAAAACATCACAAAGGAAGCTTTGTTTACAGTTCCAGTGGGGTACAGTACTTGAGATTCAGTAGCTATACAGTGCTTGAGAGCAACAATCTCCTGATGCACTTCCCTGATTTTGGTTTGTGCTTGGCATGCTATGAAATAAAAGAGTACTCTTTTAAGACTTTTCTATTCTCCAGATCAGTGAAGATCCACATTTCATTCAGTCTCACAAACAGTCCTGGATATTTTTTTATTACAAATAAATTCACCAATTTCACAAACCTTAAATGATGCTGCTAAAAATGTATATAGCTGGCTAAAAGTTGGTTTATAAAGTAGGTATTTATGGGGGTTTTCCCGCCTGGCTGGTTTCTCTGTAGATTCCTGTTAAAAGAAAGAAACAAAATACTTCTAAAAAAAACCCCAACAACCAGACATTACCAAAGCAGTTTCATAACCCTCTAAACTTCTGTTTATTAGAATGCTCATCTCCAACACACCACCCACACAAATGGTCTGCCCATTCTGCATCTCCTACTACACAGTAAAGCAAGATGCACAGTATTCAAACCAGAGCTTTTTATTATCCCTCACTGAAATTTGTGAACTAAATCTTTCTTACTCTCTCAAGCATCACCCAAGAAATGAGTGACAAAATTCACACTTCATCTCAATTAAATTAATTATAAATCTTCATATTTTCTTTTGGCCCCAGACAGAACACTTGATGCTTTCTCTGAAGGAGATATTAACTTTCAGATTACTTAGTAATCTGAGTCGATGGGTTTGAGCTAACCTTTCCTAATTTCTACTGAAAGTTACTCCACCTTTACTAACCTGCTCTCCACAGTGACAATACCGAAGGAGTACACTACTTAAAACCAATCAGTCGAACAAAAAACCCATTTAAGATGTGTTGCAAGGTTTTTTACTGAAGTGGAACTCACCTGCATTCCAGGTTTGTTCATTTGTGATGCCAAGTTCATGGGTTCCCTCTCCAGGGCTTGCAGCATTCGGAACATGTCAATTGTTAATTCACTGAACTTGACCTGCAAGAGAGTCACACAGTTTATTCTGCCAGATACACATTAAACAGAATTTCTCTGGAATTACTCAGCTAAGAGACTCCACAACACTCCAGAGAGACCATTCTCCTTCAGGGCCATTCTCTGTCAGTGTCATCTTTGAATCTCTAAAGAACTGTGAATGACTTCTAGAAGAGCTCACAGAAGACAAAGTCTATTTGTTACTGATCTACCAGGCCAAGTCACTGCATTGCAGACCCCTGCTTCCAAATTACAGGCTTCTCTGGGATGTGTACAAATCAGGTGCTGAAATGGCTGTGTTCTATGAATTCAGACAAAATCTGACAAAAACAGATGAAGTGTAGTTTAAATACAACTCCCTTGATTACCTGAAAAGAACTCAGAGAGAAGCAATGCAATTTGCAAAACTTCACTATCATTATCATCTAAAAACAGGACCTAGAATATCTTTTGAAAACCTCTTCCTGTTGCCACTGAAGTTGCAATAAGCTGGAGTGAGTCAAATGAAAGCTTAAGTCAAGCTTTTTCTAGATGTATTTCAGAGGTCTCCCATGCTTGAATGTTGTTACAAATAATCCAGTATACGAAAATCAGTTTTATCCACTTAACTGACATGTTGAATATAAACAATAAGAGGTCAATACCATAGGTCTAGTATTTAACATTTCATTTCTAGCTCTTATTTCTGAGAGCCCTCTTCCTCTTGTTATCACTGCAATCATCACAATAACAATATTTCCATGTTCTCCTCTGTTGGAATCCCTGTTGTAGGATCAGAAGGGATGTCATGGGGGACTCCAAAGATGCAAACCCAGGAGCCCAGAATTTCCTTTACCTGGTTGTTGCAGTTCCCAATAATGAGCGCATCTGCAAGAGCAAGCTGTCCCACTATCATGCCCTGCTCCAGCAACGGAGCTCCAGTCTCAGAAAGCCTGTTAGAGGTGATTACAATGGTGTTGTCATCATTTAAAACCATGACAGGGTCTGCCTAAAAAAAGCAACCAGAATAAATCAAGAATTCAGGAATGCATACACATTTGCAGAGAAGTCCATAGGTCTCAGCACTTACAATAAACATTTCACAAACAAGGCAGCTTTTTAAATTACTTGGCCATACATGTATTTATATATTTGTATGCAGGCTACAGGGTAAAGCCTTCCCACTTGGAAAAGCCAAGTTCTGCAAGAAATACATGGGACAAGCAGATAACTCATGCAGAATGAACTAAATATTCCTACATTCATTATAATTTTAGTTTGCATATTTTAGCTTGCCTTCTCTTTGAAGAAATGAATAGCAAAGGAGAGTGAATGATAATGCTGCCACCCATCCTGGCAATATTTAAATATTCCTGTGACCGTGTATCAGTGATTCATGGGACACCTGCTCCCCTCACAGATGTGGTGATACAGGAACACTTCCATCAACAAGACAGAAAACTCTGACACAACTACAGGGGATGGCATTCTCACCTCAATAAATGCTGCCACTTCCTGAAGGACCAGGTTCCACTCCACCTGATCTTCAGTATTGAAACGATGCGTGTAGTCCTCAATCTCATCTGACAGCTCCTGATGGAAACAGTTCAGAGACAGTCAGTCCTAGAACCTAACAGGCAGTCAGCAACCTTCTATTTGGTTAGCTGTGCTGGCCTTTAAGAATAATAAATAAATAAATTCCTTGAGAACATATGCAGCACACTCCTAACATGCCAGCCAAAACGCGCTCTTTCAGCAGACAGAATGCCAATGCTACACTGAGTTCTGGCAATGCAAATTGTCTTTTACGTAGGTCCAAATGCAAAGAATATCTGGAGTTAAGTATAATTATCCCACTCACAGCTATGTCACTGGTTATTACCATAAGATATGGATACCAAGGACTCAAATTTCAGCTTGCAAGTAACTTTAAATACCTTGAGAAAAGGGATGGTGTGGCTGGTTTAGCTGTGCTAAGCTAAGCCTGCAGTTCAAGGGAGCTGTGACACAGACAGCAATGCAACCTACACAAAGCTGTCAAGCCCAGGAACTGCTTGAAGAGAGGTTGTCAGAGGGGCTGGGAAGCATATGCTGTGGGGAGCAGCTTGCTGTTCCTTTTCTGCACTTCCAGGGCACCTCCCTGTCTGGGCTGCAGCTATTGGAATATTTTTACTTGCTGTTCAAACAATGCTATCAAACCATTTGATCCTAAAGTGTCATTATTAAATGTCTGAATCACAGAAGGTATTCCCCTATGTTGGATGTCAGATTAGAAAAGCAATGATCAGCAACCCCTCAGCACCTTTACCCTGATTTCAGCATACCTTTACAAGGTCCTTTACAACATCCATCTTGTTGAGCAGGAGACAAACCACGATAAACCTTGCATAGTAACGCAGCTTCTTAACCACTAATTCAGGCCTAGACACAACAACAAAAACACCACAGCCAAATTTGAGATGAAAATAGAACAGAGGCAGGTAGCAGGAGTAAGGGAGGGGAGGAGTTTAACACCAGAGCAGGGCTGAACACTTGCAGATTAAGAGTTCTGACCGAACTCATGTGGTGATTAATAGCCAGTGGCTGCTTGGAGGTTTAGTTAAAATTGAGTACAGGGACATAAAAGTAATTTAAGAAAGCCACAGCCTCCTTACATGAGGGGCATGAGAGTCAGACATCATGGCTGTACTGCAGTATGAGCTGCTGCTCCCCTGAAAGGCCTGATGAGAATCAAACAGATTCCTCTGCTTCAGCCCAGCTGACCCATCTTCCACCCACAGCATTCCAGCTCCTAGCACTGATACTGCTCAGGATTTTAAATGACAAAACTTTGGGACTAATAGCCTTCTATCAGGACCAGGTAATATAATATTCTTCCAGTCATACAGCAAAGCTCTTATTTATCGTGAATTTTTCAATCGTGGCAAAAGGATTAAAAGAAACTTCCTTCAACAACATCGATTTTATCCTAGTTATGCTCCTACAGTTTCTAGCTCCTTGCTGTTTCCACAGCCCTTTCTAGTCTTGAAGAAACAAAGGCCTCCATTCAGACATACCTGTCTTCTTTGTTGACCTGGGAGTAGTAGGACCTCTGCCTAATGGCAGAGTAGAAGGAGAAAGCCTCGTTGAGATAGCTGGTCTCAGAGGTGCGCAGGCTGCAGGGAACAAGGCCATCAGCTCACTGCCCAGAGGGAAAGCCGTGCCCAACCCTCCCTTCCTGCCCCCTCAACATCCTGGGCAGCCAAGGCACAACTCCCTCCTCTTGTGCCATCCTATGACAGCCAGAGGCTCACTCTGGGAAGGCAGGTGTCAGAGCTTGGAGCCCATTTCAGGTAACAAAGCTGCCCATCTCACACCCACACGTACAGGTGATAGGGTCACTGAACAGCTTAAAGGAACATCAAGCTCCCAAACTTGTAAATCACACTTTTGCACAACAATCCAATGCAGCACGCAGGGAGGACACTTTGGAGGCAGGAGGAAGTCCTTGGGCAGTACCAGTGTGACCAGCAACGTGGCACCAGGCTCACAGGGGCCCTTCCCTGCAGCACCCCATGCAGTCCCCAGGGCCCTCAGCCCAACCACTGATTCCTCCTGACTGAGCATCCACACATTTGCCATGCAGCTGCCACTAACCCTGCATTGCCCACTGAATCCTCTTCTGTGCTTACTTACTAATAATGGTAATAGAGCTGCCCAATCTTGGAAGCAATTTCCCCAATTTGCCACCTCTTCAACCCATACCGATTGTCCAATACTTGTCTATGTTGCAAGAGAGAAAAGAAAGATTAAAAGGATTCCCAAATTTCCCAGAACATCTCACCAGACAAGACAAAGAGCCATTGCAGGAGCAAATTCAGCCTTCATTACTGGTACAGCACCAGCAGCCCCTCACAGAGCCAAGAGCACACACACCCCACAACAAGGGCCACTTATCTTGCATAAACTTGCCAGAACCAGACTTAAGTGTGTTGCACAAAATGCACACAACAAAAGGTCACAACTTCCCAGGAGAACACTCAGACTGTGCAGCCAGAGGAAGGTGTGAAGGATCAGAGCCCACACTGCAGCAAGAGACTTCACACCATTCCAGATTGTGCTCTGCAGAATCCATCACCTCCCCAGTAAGGAATTAAAGCACCACACACTCAGGTAGAGCAAAAGGATTTGTTGAAAAAGTCACACTGAACATTCTGCAACATTTTAATTCAATAGACTGTGAGCACTGCAGGAAGTGGCTGTTCCCTCCCTTCATGCTTGAACAGCACAGTGAAATCTCAATCTTAGCTGGGGCCCTGGGCATTCCAGAGATTAAACCCACACAACTCATCTGCCTCCAACACTTCCTTACCGGTGCTGCTGTTGGAACTTCCAGAGTTTGGTGTAAACATCAAATGTTCGCCCAAAATAGGATTGCCACTGCTTCTGCCCATACTGAGGTAAATCCCTGCAAGAGAAGTGACAAAAGAATTAGGAAGCAGAATCCAGTCAGCCCAACATGACAGAAGCATGTTTGTGTCAAAGTCAGAACTGCTTTGTTCAGGATTCATTTGACATACTTAAGAATTCTGACTGCACCCAAAACTACAAGAACCATGATTGCCAGAGTTTCTCAAAACCTGTTGTTCCTGGATCTCTCCAAATAGGAAATGATCATCTTGCTACATGCAACAGGTGTTTGAAAACATCTTACAATTTTGCTAAAAGAGAAATAATTTTATGGTTATGTGCACAGAAAGACAGATTGGATTCTTGAAATATAATGCAGAAAAACCCTACCCAAGAGCAAGCAGAATAACCCAATGGAAATTAGTTAATTTAGACTGATAATATTTACTATTACTCATTAAGGAAATAACCTTTTTCAAACTGGTATGGCTGTGTTTCAGAAACAGAGCCTATTTCATCACACACAAAACCACTGCCCCAGTACCAGGTCAGACAGCATATGGATGCTCACAGTTCACATTCACTGGGTTCTGTTACACCATCACCACGTTTGTCACCCTCTAACTCACAGTTACACGTGACACAACCTGAGCACTTTTGGTTTTTTTTCTTGTCAAGTCTCCAAGGTGAGTCAGTCAACCCAGTTCAGTTCTGCTCTCTCACCTCCCCTCAATTTCCATGCTGTGGTGCATTTCCACCCCACAACTATGACATATTCCCAAGGATTTTGGCTGTAAAGATTTGTGCTCTCAACCCTCACTCCTCCCATCTCCCAAGAGAAAAGTGGATCTTGAAACAAATGCAGAGGAGACCAAACCCGAGTGCCACTGAACACACATTCCCTGCACATCTACACCAAAGCTCATTCAAAGGAGGTACACAACTCTACAAGAGGAAGCAGAACAGCTTTTCCGAGACAGAATCCTCTTGGATTTGATTCAAGATAGAATTCCTTGTGGAAATCATTCTCAAATCACTGTACTGGTTCATGTACCACCTTCAGCAGACAGAAAAGCAGCACATTCCACTTCCAGGGCTGGAGGGTAGAGACCAAGGGAAGCACCACCTTTAGAAACCTTGCCATGTTCTCTGAAGGAGCCAGAGAAGCAGAGCAGCACACAGCATTTCAGAGCAGCATTCTGGTCTGTTTCTGCTCACTGTAATTGCTTTTAACAGCACCCGAGGTAGGAAAGGAAATTAATATTCCTCTGCTCATCAGCCAACTGTACTTCCCACACAGCTTGAAGGGACCTAGCTCAGCTACTACAAGTAAAATGAATCCCTTACCAGCTACAGCTCTTACCAGCCTGGAAAAGCATTCCAGTACTTGCTGCTGATATTCCATGAAGATGCCAAGGAATCTGGGCAGGATTTTATCAAATTTTTAAAAGAAATCACTTCAAACTTGCAACTGGCTGCTCAAAATCTTGCAACGTATGTTGGTGTAGCAAGGGGTAAACAGGAATATAAATATGTGCTTCAGGGTACCAACATCTTCATTCAAGTACAGCATGATAAAAACACATGCAAATTTAAAGCATTTTCTGCAAGGAACAACTCACCACCTTCTCTTGTTGTAAGAGATGTAAACATTTTAGCTAAACAAAAGAAGCCAAGGCACTGTCCAAACACACACACCCAAGATACAGCACAGACTTCAACACAGCAAGAGGCAGCTATAATTTAATTAGCACATCCACAAGATTCAATGTTAAAGTGTATTTAAAAATGCATAAATACAAAACACTAAAATGGATAATTTAAAAAAAAAATGATACAAATCAAAAGTTCCCTGGCACTAGCTTACAGAATGACTGAATTAACAAGTTGACTTGAAGAACCTGAACCCAGAAAAACACCCTTCTCTCAAACACTGGTATCTGCACAAGCTAAGCAATAAGCAGAGGTACCTATGGGCTGATGATGCTCATGCATCTATCCCTCATCAGTCAGCTAATTAACACACTCTAAACCTCACCTGTCACCTCCACCACCTTCTCTGCACAAGCCTAAACATTCCAACATAACCTAAACATAAAGCCCAGCTCAAGTCACTGTGCTGCATCAGATTTGAGTATGTGGAAATGAGGATGTTTTCAGAAGCCTCTGGGAGTGCAGTGTCCGTGTGTCTGGCCACTGCTGTGTGTCCACACGGATATTCCTCAGCAGCCTGCTCGCCTAATTGCAGCTGGCATAGCTGCACAATACCATGGATTCCTCGGCTCCCCAGGGAATGGGAAGGATCTCCATGGAAACAGACAGTAGCACTTGTTCTTTTGATAGTATTCTGACATGGCTGTAATAAAACTTCATTTATGACAATACATTACTGTGGTTTCACTACAGCTTTTTGCAGACAAGAGCTGCCCTTCCTGCCATCCCTCTACTGCTCTGTGCTGAACATCACACATGCTGCTCTCATCTACAGAGAAATTTTACCATGAGAAAGGATGCATAAGCAAAAGAGGACATTTAGTGCAGTTTTTTTTAATAGAACATGGGGACGTGCATTATTTGGTGAGAAATAGCCCAAAAGAATCCCAAAAGCCTCAGCTGAGTGCAGAGTGGGCTTTGAACACAGCTCCTCCCACCAAAGGAGACAGGGAATGCATGACCCAGAAGCAATTATACACCCAATTTGAAAGCTCAAGACCTATATTACAGCAAGACTTTGCTACTTGCAGATCTACAGAAGGGCACCAGAGCAGTGAGGAGAGACAAAGGCAGCAGGTTTTCCTGTGGTGTGCCCAGCCCAGGCTGCTGGCAGCAGGAGGGCACCTGCTCTGGCAGAACACCACTACAGGAGGGATAAAGGGGCAACCAAACGAATCCCAGTGCAGAGGAGGGACTGGAGACTTGATCTAGGACACTACAATAGCCTGCAACAACAAGTGGAAACCATTTCCAATTTCTTGGCTTTTAAAACATTCCAAATGGGACGTGAAGACAAACTCTGATGTTCTAGAATGATGGGTTTCTCACACTGGGCACAGAAGACAGGTTCTCTTGCTGCACTAGTGTGGCTGGTGGATAAATTTCACAGACAGACCAGAATTTTATCCAATTCTTGCTGTACTCTTTGTCTCCACAAAGACCAGCACTACTTATATGCTCATAATTAATTCTCTGTCAGTTCATTTCAGCCAGCTGCCAGATAATACTGGCTGAAACCCAATTAAAGGTGCTGAGGTGTGCTTGGCCAGTGCCACATGGAAGTTGTCACACGGGGACATTAAAGATGTTGAGAACATCCTAGAGACTCATCAGTAAGCTTCAAAGAGGAAGGCTACAATAACTGCAAGTTTAACATTCAAAGCTTTAAATACATTCACAGTTTTGACAGGTGATAAAAAGAGACAATTTCCTTTTATGCTCACGGGCTTGTAGTAGTTACAGGCTCCTGTTCCCAGAACCTGAGCTGCAGTGGGATAAAAGGGCTGTGGCACAGAGCCAGGAGGTACCCCCTGAGCCTCCTTTCCTCCATGCTGAGCCTCCCCAGCTCCCTCTGCTGCTCCTGGTGTTCCAGACCTTTCCCCAGCTTTGTTCCCACCCCGGACATGCTCCAGCCCCTCAGTGTCTCTCTTGCCGTGAGGGGCCCAGAACAGGACAAGTTGCCTCACCAGTGCCCAGTACAAAGGGACAATCAATTCCCTAAAACACAGTTGTGGAAAGTCTTTTAATTCCTTGAAGTTTCAGGCTTCTTTGTGATACTGAGCACATTTAAGCACTTTTTAACATCTAAAAGAAAATACCAGTGACAATACACCATGACAAAATGCTTCCTTACACCCTCCCTCTTCCCAGCCTTTTTCAAGAAAAAAGCAAGTGGGAGTGGGGAAAGGGGAGAAGAGAGCCATTGCAGCATACTTCATTAACAGTTTATTCTAACTTATAGCCCAGGATAGAGACACTATGAAGACAACCCCCCTGGGTTATCCCAGCAGGCATGGCCACAGGAGATGCTATCACTGGGAGCACGAGCACAAAGTACACTTTCGAGCAGCAACCTTGGCAGACCATCATATGTTTTCCTCAAATGCTGTATTTGGCATCTGTATTGAGAAGAGAGGAAGGAAATGCTACTGAAACAAAGACGTGGCAGGCTGAGCCCTTGCAATTTTTGGCAGCAGCAACAGCTAAGCAGCTGCCAACACAGCTATAGGCTCAGCTCCCTGTAGCTGAAGTGCCCAGAGGAGGTTTTGGGAAGGAAATCATTGCTCTCCTCTCCCTCCCCCATCACTTATTTTCTATGAAACGTGGTAGGGGCAAGAGAATAGCATGAAACACAGCAGCAAAGGCCATCATCATCTTCAAAACAGGTGGTGTCAGACATGAATCAAATGCCTTTATTATGCTGGAGGGAAAAGCAAGCAACTGGACTAAGAATTGGGATGCTTGCCAAGACATTTCCAGGTGAACTCCCCAGAGAACAAGCACTAACAGGGCAGATACCTGAGAATTATAATGTTGCTTTATCCTGTCATTATGCCCATGGGAATCACAGGTCTTAGAGGTGAAATGGTGGTCAAGTGTAAGAAGCAACCGTATCAGGTTACAGTAAGGACAGGGGCAGGTTCTTGTTCTGAAGTGTTCCTATTTCCACACAGCAGAACTGGCTGCTTAATCCCATCTCTATTTTTATTTTCCATTTTCTTTTCATTTAGCTGGACAAGAAGGTTTCTTTCTAGAAAAGTACCATGGACATACTGAGAAACTCCATCTCTCATCTTGATATCTGATACAAGCACTACCTCCCTCCATGGCCAAAGGAGAGACAGAATGGCTGAAGGTTCTCTGCCACCTCTCTGATCTGAACTGGAGCAGCACACAGCCACACATGAACTGTGTTCATTTGTACTCTTCAGTGACTCAGGCCAAAATTTCAAGTACAATCTATCAGAAAGCCAGTGTAATGTCATATATAGTCCTGGAAATCCTGGTCTCAAGATCTCAGACCTTTTGCCTTAGGCTGTCTTTCATGGGAGGGGGTCAAACTCAACCACCAAGAACTCCTTGTCTCTACTGCCCATTTGCCATTCATATTTTGGAGCACAAAATGTTTGTTTTGGATTTGGTAATCAACTTCTAAAGCACATGAAAGGATTACCAATAGCGGGGGGCGGAGGAATTAAAAGCATCTTTGCTAACCATCTGTGTTTGACTAACAGCAAGCTATAAGGGCCCAAACATACAGCATTACTCAGAGACCAGTAAGAGGCTGAACTGCCAACCAGATATGAGCTCAAAGCCCTGTTACTTAAGAGACTCTACAGCAAAGCTTAGAAATAAAGCAGCTTTGGATACATGCTGTTTAACTCAGCATATATTGACATAAACAGGATACCCATATTACTGTCCAAACGTGTATTCTCCCTGCAGACAAAGCAGTTGAACTTTCCAGCTGTTGTTGCAGCTGCTTAGTAGATAAATGTAGATTTTACCTTTCTCCACAGTTCAGATTAAGCACTTGTTTCACCACACACATACAGGGTATGGTTTCGATGTTTCTGTTTATCACTTCCTAAATTTCTTCCCCAAGGATATTCCCTCTCCTCCTTTCCTCCCACCCAGACCAATCCTCTTCATTGCTTTCTTTGTCCAGAGAGACAGTAGGGCTTTGGATATGCATGCTGTGAACTGCACACAGTCACACCTAATCCTTAATTGTGGCCTTCAAACACACCATTTCAGCAATAATCACATCAATTTAATGGGATTTTCAACTTCTATTTACTATTGACTGGAATCTCTGTTCCTACAAACATTCCTACATACCTGGTCCAAAAGTACCCACACAGAGGTGCATTGTTCTCTCCTAAACAAACTTACTGGGTTTGGGTTTGAAATGTTCACTGACTTCAGCATCACACACTGCAGTGTGTGTGTTCCAAGGCTTTTCTGAAGGAATACTGTCAAAAATCCACTAACCTTAAGCCATTGAAGAGCTGCTTAGATTTATCCAATAAGTAGCAAAAGTCTGTCACCGTTTTTCTCTCTGCTTGAGGAATATCATCTTCAGCTCCCCCTGATGACATGATTTCTTTTAGGGCAAGCTCAGTCCTATGAAGAAAAAAAATAGCCACATTATTCAAAAATCAAGGGCTGCTATGAACTCATCCAGACTGAGATGCATGTTCAGTTCCATGGGGATGTAACACAGAGCATGCAGTTCTCCACAGGTTACTCTTCTCAAGACTCATTAAAAAAAATAGCTGAGAATCAAGGCATTGGACTAATTACTGCACAATGCACTAGTTAACAAAGCAAAATTAAAAGTAACAGTGGTACAATAGTCACAAAATAAAATAACTCTGAGGACTGTCCTCACAAACACAAAACTGACAAAGAAAGGACTGTAGCACAAACAGCACTTGGATTTCACACTTGGACAAATAAATCCTCTCCAAATTTGCCTTCTGCAGAGGTACTTATCCTGCAGCTGTATTTAGAGACCAGCCTCACTTCTCTTTACATTTCATTTTCTTCTGTAACTGCTGAAAACTGCAGTTCAATAGCTCCTATTGCTAAAACAAGACAAATTCAGCCAGAATGCTAAAAAGTACTCTACCTTCCTTCCTCTTTGCATCCTCATGACTGTTTAATTCCATGCCTTGCATTGCCCACAATCATACCTGCAAATCCATTTTTATTCTTCATGTGAGTAAAATGTTATATTGTACAATAATCACCTGAACAAAAAGCTAAGATATAGTGTAGATAGCTGTAGTATTGAGTAAGGGAATATGAAAGCTTATAGAGGCAGAGTGGCTTTAAAAAAAAAAAAAAAAAAAAAATCTTACTCCAAACATACACAGATATCAAATTATCCTTCTGAGCATACAAAGATGAGCTACAGATTTTGCAGCAGAAACAACCAAACATTTCTGGAAATGGCTGCTAGGGTTTCAGCTCTGCCAAGCTCAGGATTTTCGTGCAAGATAAACACACCTCTGAGTGGGCACACGCAGAGCTTTTACTTCCAGCAGCTTCTCTACCAGTTCTGGTAAGTGCAACAAGTTTCCATTTGTGCAGCAGCTCTGTTTGGATGCTATTTGCACAAATAATTGCCTACATGTCCCAGTCCAAGCCAGGAAATGGCAGAGCTCACTCTTTCCAGCCATCGGGAAGCACCCAGAAGCATCTTTCAGCAACTGCCACCAAAAAATCCTTCACAATAACTAAAGAGGCTTCAAAAATGCTTCCCTGAACAAATACCTCATGCCTAACAAATGCAGGAGAAACTGGAAGTTTCCACCCAGCTTTTGGGGTAAGTTAGAGGGCCACCCTGCCAACCAAGCAGTCTCATGATTTCCCAGTTTAGACAAGATGCAGCCCACATAAGACTTTTTTTACACACCCATGTAACAGCACACCAGAGCTCCAGTGCAAGGCCATGGGGGCATGGCACAAACCACTTGTTGAAGAGCTCCAGAAAAAGGTAAAAAGTGTCTCTGCATTGTCAGGTAACTGCAATATGGGTGCCAGAGTCCAAAACACACCATCCAGATGTCACAAGCTTCGGCATGAGCCTGGCAAGGACGTGAAGATTGTGAAGCCCCAGCTTGTGTCTGAAAGCTCTGAACATTCACATTTACACAGCACAGAACAAACAACACCAAAAGCGCTCAACAAACAAACAAACACTCAAAGCGCCAACATATGAGATTGAAGTGAACAGTGAGACCTCAAAAACAGATGTCAGAAGTAGCCAGGAGGTGATTCAGGAATTTCAGGAAGAGGGACAATACCCCAGGTCCCGTGCAGCAAGGGTGACTTAAATCCTGCAGCGAGCCCGTAGGTCTGTGCTCCACCGTGGCAGTCCAGGCACTCCAGCTTCAGATACATTTGCAGAAATTGAGGAGCTTGCTTAAGTTGCAAAGTATGTTTCATACAGTCTAGATAGCAGTCTTTTAATTTAATGGCAGTGAATTTTATTTTACACTATCCGTAAGTTATACTACTCAACAACCCCAACCACTGCCAACATAAACTGTGTTAGGCCTGGCACAGGCAAATAGCACCAACCAGGCTTTGGGTTGTTTTTTAAAACCAAGTAGTTCTCACATGCAAGGACTTCACCAGACCCACTGTGAAGAGGCCATTTATGCAATCAATAAAAGATACACAAGAAAATCCATAGCCTGCCAATGTGAAAGGTATTGGAAGGAAGGAAAAATAAGCGAGGCTGGATTTTCCAGCTGACAGAGAAGGAAAATAAAATTAGTTATCTCATGCACTGTTTTTGGCTTATCATGCTCTGTAGGGGGGTGGTATTTGGTGCTGTACAAAGGAAGAGCCACTATCAGGAGCAGCTCAGGAAAGGAGGAGGTGCTCCTGCACTAAGGACTGTGTTGTAATGCAGCAGCAGCACAGACAGGAGGGAGAATTATTATTAGAACAGCAAGTGGGCACAGTAAAGGGAGGAATACAGCTCCTGACATCGCCCTTTCCTGAGGGACTGCTCAGCTCCAAATGAACAACATAAATAAAAAAGCAACCAAGAGCACATCCACAACGGGCACCTCTCCTTCCCTTTGATACTAGAAGTTATCACATGGATCTGTGCTCGTCTGCAGACAGACAGTTCTCCCAGTTTTGACAGCCCAACTATACCAGGAATATCACCTACTTAATTTCTTATTCTCTGTTTGATGCTTTTTGCTTTCTTTCATACAAAAGAAACTGTTGGGGCTGTTTTGCATGACAATTTCTCTTAAGTAACACATTAAAAAAAATGATCTCCAGAGTCTGCAGAAGGAGACATTGAAACACTGGTTTAAAAGACTGTCAGAGTAAGTCAGAAAATGGTGGCTTCCAGCAGAACTTATTATTCTCTCAAAGATTTTGCCAACTCCTCAGGCCATACAAGGCAGAAAACCTGTGCTAGCCAAGCCCCACACTTGGTGTGCCAGGTTCTTCCCTACAAGCTCTCAGAACACACAATTCTAGGTTTGCTTAATGCAATACATTATTAGGTTTTACAAATTCATCTCATTGCAGGACCCAGGGTAGCAGAGCTTCACAGACATCCCAGAGGATGGCAGGTAAAGCTGGAGGGCAGCAGGAGGAAGGATACAGGACAGGGACAGTTTCACGGTGCTGGACAGTATTTTTAAAGTCAGATGTCACTTACATCACACACGTCTCCACTTCCCTGTGGTTTGCTGTCTTTTGGCTACGGTTTTCCAGGCTTAGCTGGAAGGGAAAAAGAGTGCTGGAGTTAATGGTATGCACTCCCCACTGGCCCTGCCCTGGGATTCAGAGCAAGGCGAGCTTTGTGAGCTGTGAGGGAACGCTCCGGGTCAGGGAAATCAAGCTGACAATGCAAGTCCAGCATGGAAATGTTCAATAAGTGCATTACATCCTCTTAGATTTGCTATATAGCCGGGATCACTGTAAGCTGCCATTCAGCTGCCTGCTGGAAGGGGAGGGTCAGACCTTCCCACCCAATGTGTATGAGCAAATAAAATCTCACACACTGAAGGTGCAGCCGTGGTGTGACCAGAGGGCACAGTGGACAGGAGGATGGCAGGGGTCTGTAATCTCATTTATCAGTGAGGACAGGTAAAATCAGGAGCAGTTTGCTGAAGCTGCACAGCAGTTGGCTGGATGTGGCACCTCGACCTCCTGACAGAGCACTTGTGCAACCCAACTGCCTTTTTTTTAAGCCATCACTACTTCTCAGTTATGTAATCTTGACTCGTTTTAAAATGCTTCCCACTCCCTGCTCAGAGGCACAAGTGGTAACCAAAAACCAAAAGCAAACACTTTGTTCATCTCTCTTGTTGATATAGGATTTCCCCCAAACTAAGATGTTCCTAGAACTGCTCTCTACAGAAACCAGTGGTGGAAAACACATCCCAGTCTATCAGGATTTTAAAGCTGTCAAACCTTGAGTCAGAGACCAGCTCTCTTTCCGTTTTTCATCCTTACACATCTCCCACAGCATCACTGCCAAAAGGGGATGTGACACAAAGCCCAGCTGGTATCTATTTCTTATCTGCAAATTAACAACAGATAATACTAAGCTCCTGATCGTTCACACACAAAGCCTGGAACCATCATGCCTCAAAATTCTATCAAAAACCAGCTGATCTTACCTTCACCAAGCAGGATGCCTACCTTGGCTCCCTCTTTGCCTGTCCTTTTCTTCTGCAGACTGGCACACTCATGTCTCATGTTTTCTTTCAACGCTATACTGCACGTTTTGGGAAAACCATCTGTGTGTTTCCATGTGATCTGCTCAGAGTGCTAGTCCTGACAGAGCCTCAGACAACACAAAATGCATTAGAAACCAAATTCATTCCTCTTACCAGAATACCTAACTCTCCATCAAGAGCCACTGCCCTGAAGTTCCCAAGACAGCACTCGGTTCTGCCCGAGAAACACTGAAATAAATAATTAGTAATTCCCCCAGACAGGCACTGAAAACCTCACAGCCTGCTGGAGTCAGGAATTCAGAGGGAATGGCAATGAGCAGTTATACATCAAACCATTTCTTTATAAAATGGGGGGGGGGGGAAGATTTCTTTATTACTCCAAGGTTTTTTAGTAAAATTTGGAACCAATCAGACATTCCTCACCCCAACCACTGTTCACCTCAGGGCACGTCTGCACTGCAGTGGCTGCAGCTCTTGCAGACATATCCAGCTCCTTTTCCAGCAGCTCGTTGGATGCTGCAGGAGGCATCTGGGAGCAGGCTGAGCCCACACCTGAGCTCCTGGCAAGGCTCAGTCCCAGGGGACAGCAATGCCCAGGGCCAGCTCAGACAACAAGCACAGTGTTTGTGTCCCAGCTCTGCTCAGTGCTCTGTGGACATGCACAGGGACTGCACAAGGAAAAGGACACAGCCTGGGCTTTGGGGACACTTCTGTCTGAATGCCACAATGATAAGCAACTTTAACTTAAGAAACAGAAACAAGTAGCTGTGGCATTTAACTGATAATGCTGGTCAAATCATGTTCTCTCTGCCTGGAAGTTTGATAACTTCAAAGGGCACTAAAGAGAAATTAATTACCAGGGTGAAAGCCTGATTTCATGTACAAATTACAGCGTGGCTGACAAAATCACCTGCAAATGCAACTAGGTCTAGCAACTACCTCCTATTGAGAATTCTCCAAGAAACTGGTTCTCCCACTAAAGTACACATTTTTACAGCTAACTTGCAAAAATACTGCTACCTCTAAAGACTAGGCAAGAGGCAAGCAATTTAAAAAAAATGATAAAAACACCCAAAGCCCAGTGAGCCTGTGTATGAACACACCCACACTCCTGGGCACGAGCAGTCAGGGCCAGGGAGCCTGGTCCCACATTGACCTGGATTGATCCTTCCCTCTGCATCCCAACAAACCCAGCTCTGCCCAGCACAGGGAAAGCTTCCACTGCCCTGGGGCTCCACACGTTCTGAGGGGCTGGCAGATGCTTCCTACAACACAACAACTTCCTTCTGTCTGTCCTTCCATTCAACAGATGCACTAAACACATCACTCTACTCCAGCTTCTTTTGAATTTTGTGAAAATTGCTCACTAGATAATCTTTAGGACCTTTCTCCCTAGATCAATAGACAAGGGATTTAAAAGCTGCTCGGAGTGGAAGAAAAAAAAAGGGAAAGGAGCGGGCAGGGGATAAATAAGAAAACAAGGTAAACCCACACACACACACATTCCCCAGCTGCACACTGCTGTGGCCAGGGAAGTGGCAGAGAGCAGGCACTCACAGTTACACAAGAACTGTTATACAAGTCACACACATTTTATTACTGCAAACTGAAAGTTTACTACTCTCACATGAACGCATAATTCCTTCCTCAGCACATCAGCAGATGAGACGATCTGCAAACAGCCTCACAGCCAGACCTTAGAGTTAAGGGCAGCTGTCACCTCTGCATTACCTGTGACATCTCATCAGGAACAGCCTCATCACTTCCTGTAGGAAAATAGGCAACACCACAAATGCAACTCCATTCTGAGTCAAATGAGTAGGAAAATACAACATGCAGTGTCAATCCCATTATTTTAACTTCAAGTAAGCGCTTCGTCTGTAGAATCAGGCTTTTCATATGTTTCAGACGTCTTTAAAAATCCTTTCACTGCTTAGAAGCACACCTGTCTGTATCCAGAACTGCAGCTTTGGCTTATTTCTCTCAGAAAAATGCGGAGGTGCTCATTAACATCATGCCATGGAAACCGTGTAGTCCCTTCCTGCCTCCTACACTGAGATCATGGAAGCCACACCTCAGCAGCAGACTCCTCTGAATTCACTCTGGGCAGACTCACTTTGAACACAAGAGACATGATCTCACCATGGGATGCACGTGGCCTTCAATCGCCTTCAGAACACAAAACTTTTGCTTCTCTTCTTTATGTTTCTGCCACTGACAATTTGTTCCACCTTTGTCTGTTCTGCGCCCTCTGTGATCCCTCTTTCACTGCAGTTCACGACCTTGTGTGTATAGGATGAACAAAGGGCACAGGCTAAAAATGTCATCACAGTTGGGCCTCTGCTCTTCTACTGACTTCACTGGTTTGCTATTAAAAATAGGCTCAAGCTCAAAGTCAAACCAAAGAAGAATTTCTGGGTCATCAGAGTCTGGGAATCTCCAGAAGATGGTGCAGAAGCAACGTGGAAGAGGACACAAGTGTTTCTTTTCATCCAAATTCAAATCATGAATCTGTCGTGGTGCCTGCATACCACCTACATGGTACTTAGCAGTCATTTGCTTTGTATGAAAGAGCAAAAGGAAAAAACCCACCAGGCTGGCCCACTCTTGGCAGAGGTGGGAGGGTAGAAAGGAGACAGAAAAACACCATCAGCTGTGGCAGTGAGCTGTGTGTATTTACATTTCACAGGCTGAACTATTTAGTGGTTTATTTACACACAATGTTCTTGGAGCAGCTAAAATGCCAGTTGTGTTTTATCTCGATTTTGTGGCAATGAGCATAAGCCACAGAATCATAGGAAGAGTCTGCAAATGAGAGATGAACCCCCTACATCTGGAAAAAGCACATAAGCCACTGTGAGAAAGGAGGGAGATTTTGGGAACACAGGCACAACAAGGGCTGAAATGCATTCGTTATGACAAGACACCAAAATACAACCCAGGGAGACTCAGTAAAGCAGCGACCCAGTCACAATGCAAGAGCTCGTGCTGCAGGGATTGCACATCCCAGGGTAACCCTCAGAGCCAACCCACGGCACAGCACGGCGGCCTCGGGTCCCTGCGGCTGCCCCTCCATGTTAGAGTGAGGAGGGAATTGCAGTCAGCTCCATTTTATGCACATTTGATGGCAAGACGCCAACACAACTGTTGACTGAGCCAAATCTGGGCCCCCTTGAACTAAGCCATCACCTAAAGCGGGGAGGAAAAGCACATGCCTCTCGCCTTCCCAGCAGCCAAGTTCCTGAAAAGCATCCCAGTTACAAGAAAGATTTTTCTTTCTTTCCTCTGACAACAACTGATGCTTTAACTCTCTTATGTGCACTCATTAATTTGAAATGGAACAGCTAACGTGAGGCTGCATCGTACAGCAATGGGATGGAGAGGCTTCCTTCCAGCGAGCCAAATGATTTTCTGGCTGGCCCAAATGGCAGCTGAGGCCAGTGCCCGATCTGGAGGGCAGCTATCGTCACACTCTGCAGCCTGTTCCCATCCTCAGCCAAGGTGCCAATGGCTGCCTTCCAACTGGAACTGTATTCCGACAAAAGGGAACGCAGGACAAGCTTGGGAAAGCTTTCTGATCCCTTTGCTTCACTTCTTCCTTCCAAACCAGTGCTTGGTGGGAGCTGCCAGCACGTCTGGGAATTGCATGGAGAGCACCATCACTCTGGGAATTCACCTTCCTGAGCAGGTACTGCTCCTGAGCCGTGTCTGCCTCACAGCACAGAAATCCCTCTGCTGACTTCTGCTTTAATTATATTTTAAAAACTCCGCTTCTAGTTGGTGTTCCATTATATTAATAGCAATAATTAAAAATACTTCAAACAACAAGTCCTCTAAACCTGCAGTTCCATCCAGGCTTTCTGGCACTGCACACTTCCTTTCCTGACTGACATCCTCAGGGAACCAGATTGATGGTTACTCTTTTCCATCCCTGCTGCAGGGCTGTGCTGCGTTCTCTCAGCACATGGAAGCTGCAAGGTAATATTTGTGTTGGCAACTTCCTTACATACTTTACAGAACCAGACCTCCATCTGACCCTCAGAGCAGCTCCCACACACAACTTGGTCCACTCCTTTGAACTGTCTCCTGCTGCAACACACACTCCATACCATACCTCTGTCTCCAGCCTGTTTATTCACATCTTGAACCGAGCTTTTGAGCTTCAACAGTGCACCTTAGCTATAAAAGCCAAGCCTGCAGAATGTTCTTATGCAAGAACACCAAACAAAATTATTATAAAATCTGCATTTACAGGTCCTGGTTGTCCTTCTCCCAAGATTACTCCAACAAATGCAATCATTTTTTAGGAAAAAATGAGAACTGTGTAAAGTTCTGTGTAAAAAGACATCAATATCCAGGATTTTATGGCCAGAATCCAATAATTGTACTGTGATTTAGGGGGCTAATGGGAGCGTTGGGGTTTTTGTTTAATATATGTTCCATTTCAGCTCTTTAGGCACTAACACCACCTCAGAAGAGACTCTCACACCAGAGATCTTCCTTCCTTACCCAAAGCACACCAAGCAGAATAAAAGATAAGCCAACAAAGTAACGTGTCCAGATAATCCAATGAATTCCCATTATCCATCTGTGCCGCAGCAGATCATCAACAACTCCATTTAACGCCAACAGAGCTAAACCAGAATAAAAGTGATGCAAGAAGAGGGGAGATGAGAGTGGCACACGGCAGCGAGGCAGCTGCAGTGCGAGCAGGGGACTGTGCAGAGCATCATGTGACAGGAGCAGCAGAGCTGCAGCCCCCGGCTCCCACCTCCCCAAATCTGTGCCCTCCTGCAAGGCCACGGACACCACCATCTGATCCCAATACAGAACTGACATGGGTTAGAAGCTTCTCGATGTTTTGAATCGTTACGCTCCGTTTTTAACACTTCCCTCCACAAAATAAAACAGGGACACAAATGATTAACAATGAGCTTCGTGTTCCTCCCGCTGGAATGCACTTTCAGCATCTTTATCACTTGTAGATCGACTTTGTCAAAAGAGCACGATGAGCACAGAACGCAGGATCATTCTTACACATAGAGCAAACCCCAACCAGACATCAGTTGTGATAAAATATTCCCTGGCTTGTAAGGGACATGGATTGCCAACTGAATTTAGATATTGTATTGCAGCTACATTTCAAGACAAAACAATGATCACATTCTCCTTTGTAGCACAACAAAATATTCCCTCTCTCCATATAGTTCCTGTGAATGGTTTTTCTATTTCCTGCAGTAAAGGACCTGGCCATCACACTCATGACTGACTGCCTGTATTGCTCTGGCAGCCCAGAAAAATGCTCTCTGCTCCTAGTGAAGTGACTCACTCTTTCATTTAACATAAATCGTGGTCCAATTTATCCAAACATCTTGAATGAGACCGTATTAATCTGATTTTAAAATGAAGCCTTTCCTCTACACACACAATCCCCAGCAGGGCACCAGGCTCCCGAAGTGCTTCCTCCAGGGACAGCACAACCATCACACCACGGGTTCAGACGGGGTGAGGAGACCCCAGGCAGGAACTGCACCTGCAAATCCCACAGCGAGACCCATATCAGGATGATTATCTACGATTTGCAAAGACTGCTACCAGCACAGCAGTCCCTGTGCCCGCAGGAGCGGTGGGAAGCACACGCATGCTGAGAGACTCACTCACATTTTAGTCTTCATATGGTCCCACAGCGCTGCTTTGCATTAGCTTGGACAAGATGCCATGAATTACAGGTTGCATTTGGATAGCTCGTGCAAAATCTAGATTTCTTTTCATATTAAGGGGTCCATTTTGCAGGTTGGAGGACTAGAAGTGATTGGCCCAGACACAGCTAAAGCATAGAAGCTGGTTATTAAATGACAGACGTGCAACTCAGACATTAATGAAAACAGGTCCTATTCTGTGGTGGGAGATGAGACCTAGAGCTGAAAACCTGCAGTCTTGATCTTGAATGGTTTAACAGGTTATGAATATTTTTACAGGGCAAGAAATTTGAGGGGATGACACAACATAACAACCATCCAGCTCCTGTCCCCAAGGGCATCTCATGTCACCTATTGTCCAAAACACCTCTATGTACAAAAAATAAAAATTGGTGACAAGGGAACTGCTAGGATAGAAGTTTAAAATCAGAACAAACCCGTGATTATTCTATCAAACCGGCAGCTTGGATATCCAGCAATGCACAGACTGCTCCCGTAAAATCCTGCCACATTCCACCCCAGCGGGCTCGCTGGCCGCTGCCGAACGCCGCTACCTGTCACCGGCGTGCCCAGCAGCCACAGCCTCGCCCGCCGCGAGCGGGAACGGAGCGCGGGGAACGGAGAAGTTAATGAAGAGGAGCTCGTCTGGGTAATTACTGCAGCTACGCTGCCAGCCCAGGCCTAAGCGTTAGACGTGTCACATCGCGTTGCTCCTCTCCGTTAGCAGCAAAGACAGCGGCGAGCACGGCCCCATGCCGCCGCCGGGCCTCGGCAGCTCCCGCCTCCGCCGCCCCTCTCCGCGGCACCGGGCACGGACCCGCCGCGCCGCCGGGGATGCTCCGCGCGGCCCCCGCCCGCACCTGCCGCCTTACCTGGGCTCCCGCGCGCGGCACGGCTCTTCTGCCGGGCCCGGAGCTTTATTGGGGCGAGACCGCGGTGAGGGGCGCGCCGCCGCCGGGCCTGCCCCGAGGCGCCCGCAGCCGCCGCCGCTCCCGCCCGCCCCCGCCGCCGCCCCACCCGCGCCGCCGCTCCGCCCCTCGCACCTGGAGGCCGGGTCGGAGCGGGGCAGGCGCTGCCGGACGGCCCCGTTCACCGTCCGCACCCGCCGGTCCCGACCACGGTCCCGGTCCGGGCGCGGCCGCAGCGCCGCCGAGGTTCGGGGAGCGCGGCTGCCGCCTCGCGCCGGTCCGCGCCGGCCAGCCCCGCCCCCGTGCGCTCCTATTGGCCGAACGCCCCGGTTAACGGCGAGAATGCGCTCTGATTGGCTGTATCGGCCATCAATCAAGAGGCTCCGCCCTCCCGCGAGCTGCCGGTGAGCCGCGGCGGCTGCTTGGATACGGCGGCGGCACCGCGGGGAGCGAGACCGGCACGTCTGTCTGTCCGTCCGTCCGTCCGTCCCGCGCGGCCGCCTGCGCGCACGGCCCTACCCCTGCCCCGCGGTGCCGCGGCGGCCACTCCCGCCCCACCCGCCATCACGTCCCCATCACTGCCGGTGTAAGAGTGCCGCACCTCGGCCAGCGCGGGAACACCGGCTGCGTTCTGACCGGGCTCCGGCGGTTGAGAGGGAGCGGGGGCGGCAGCCGCAGCACCGAGCTCCCGCGGGGCTGCAGCCCCAGAGCCCGGGGCCAGCCGTGCCTCCCGCCCTCCCTGTCAGCGCCCCGGCCGAGACCATCGTGCATCCCGCGGGGGGCGCGCGGCGAGCAGGCTCCTCCCCTCCCTGCCCATCGCGCGTTGGTACGGTCCAGCGGCGGTTCCGGCCTGTCCCTGCCCTGCTTCCGCCCCTTCCGCCCCGTCCGCGAGCCGCCCGCCATGGTGAGAGAGCTCGGCTTGGAATCCGCCGGCATCTCGCGGGAACGGTACCCGGGATCCACCGGCATCCCTCGGGAATGGCACCCGGGGTCCCCCGGCATCCCTCGGGAACGGCAACCCGGGAATCCCCCGCTCTCCCACTGGGACCGGGAATCCCGGCAGTCCGCCCGTATTGCACTGGGCCCTGGGCCCGCATGTTGGCGCTGTGGGGGCTGAGGGCGGGCGGGATGCGGGACCGGGGGTCGGGCGGGGGTACTGACGGCCTGTCCGCCGCCTGCAGGCCAAGATCAAGGCCCGAGACCTGCGCGGGAAGAAGAAGGAGGAGCTGCTGAAGCAGCTGGAGGATCTGAAGGTGGAGCTGTCGCAGCTTCGCGTGGCCAAAGTGACCGGCGGGGCCGCCTCCAAGCTGTCCAAAATGTGAGTGGGGCCGGGGGGCGAGGGGAGTTGGGCATGGGCTGCCGAGCCCCCGGGTGCGCCGTGTCCGAGAGCTGCTCTCTCAGGCTGTGGTTGTTGTGTGCTGTAAAAAAAAAAAAAGAACCAAAAAACCGGCGTGGCAGGGGAGCACACCTCCGGAGGCCTGGGGGCCGCTCCGTGTGTCTGCTCGGAGGTGTCGGGCCGAGATGAACCGGGCGCTGCCGCTGTTTGCTGTAGTGTGGCACAGTGTAAGGGGTCCGGAGCACTCTCGGTTTCTGTACCCTGGGTTTGATCCATGAGCTGGTCCTGCACGGTGCCCTGAGCTCCCTCTTTTTCCCACCTGCAGCCGTGTGGTGCGCAAATCCATTGCCAGAGTGTTAACTGTCATCAACCAGACACAGAAGGAGAACTTGAGGAAGTTCTACAAGGTAAGGACAAACATCTTCTGTAAGTGGCCTTTACACTCTTGCTGTTCTCAATTACAAAGTTCCTAGGAAGAATTGCTACTTAAAAGCTTAAAATTCAATTAAAAACTATAATTTATGTTCAGTTTAAAGTTCTCTGGTCATGGTTGCTTTTTAAATATTGGTGCAAGAATTCTGCAATCTTGGTGTGAGTCTGCTTTTGCAGAGAGTCTTCTGGCAGCATCCCTTCTGTGGGATGGGGTGAACTTGCTGGGAGATGTAGTTTGCAGAAATGCAGATATTCTTTTATTTTAAATTTAATCATCTCGCAGATGACCAAGAAATTCTTTAATTCAACAAGGTTCTGTAATTTTTAGAATATCACTTCCTGGAGTTTTTATTAGATCATATTGGGTGAAAAAAAAGAACTTTTGAAGAGGTGCTGGATAACTGGGGCTTGTAAGATTAGGCATTACTTAAACCTGAGTCAGAGCTGCTGCAAAAGCTACAATCCATTCATGTTTCCCAGTCTCCTAAACTTCCAGGCTGTAATGATAGTCCCAAGGAAAAGAGGCTCGGTGGTGTTGGCGCTGTGGCAGTGTCTGAACTCAGCTGCTGTGTGTCTTTGCAAACAGGGTAAGAAGTACAAACCCCTGGATCTGCGGCCCAAGAAGACTCGGGCCATGCGGCGCAGGCTCAACAAGCACGAGGAGAACCTGAAGACCAAGAAGCAGCAGCGAAAGGAGCGTTTGTACCCGGCCCGGAAATTCGCCATCAAGGCATAGCCTTGAGCAATCCCCAGCTCCAGGCTGGGGAGCTGGGGATGCCTCATTAAATGGAGTTTGGTTTGGAAGTGTCACTCGTGGTTTCTTTGGTAGTGGTGGGTAAAGGGGCCATAAAGGAGTCATCAGCTTAATGGAGGGAAATGGGAGGATTCACAGAAAGTGTTTGAACTGTGGCTGCTAATGAAAATACAGACCTGGCAGTTTATTTTCCTCTGAGGAACAAGCAGTGAATGGGTACAGATCTGTGAGGCTTGTTCAACCAGGCATGTAAGAAGTATTTAACCTGAGATTGATGTAAAATGGAAAGCTTTTCACTAATGTTGGTAGTCAGTCAGTATTTATCACTACTTATCACAGTTTAATCTTGTGCCAGTTTAAATGTTAATTAGCTGAGGGATTTTATGGGACTTGATGGAAACTTGCCAGCACTTGGTTCAGATCCCCGGGCAGCTCACAGCTCCTGAGAGCCCCCTGGGGAGGGGGGATAGTTTCAGACCAGGTGTTCTCTGTGTAGGCGTGGGTGCTGCTGAGGGCACGTGAGCTCAGGTGTGAAAAAGGTCTGAGCTCCAAGGGCAGCACCACTGGACTCCCAGGGCATCCGTGGCCTCACAATTCCACACTTCTTTCTACCTGCAAAGCACAGCATGGGTTAAATGCTTTGTCTTTGTCTCCCATGGGGTTCTGTGACATTCAAGAGATGGAGTTGCAATTCCAAAAGCCTTTTTTGGTCCTGATTGTGGGGAAGAGTTCCACAGTGCTGCTGGAGCGTGAGGGCTGCAACACTCATGGTTTGAGTTAGTGCTGCCAATGCATTCGAACATAAAAAATTCCCTATCCATTAGGGAGTTCCTAGATTGGATCCAGATTCTGTTTAGGAAAAAGATGTTAATTCTGCTCCCTCAATTAAGGATTTTTAAGCCTCAAGCTAGTTTTATCCAGAGAGGCCTAATCACGTGTGGTGCAGGGACTTTCCCCTACATGGTGGCGTTGCGAGGGGTGGCTGTGCTGTGATGTCACCCTGGCTGTGCCATGGCTTTGTTTGGAGCCCGGGGTGGATGGGACGTGTCTGGCAGCGAGAGGACCCGGGCTGGGGCTGGCACAGCGGGCTGGGGCTGGCACAGCGCTGGGCCAGGCTGCCAGAGCGTGCCATGGGACGGCGAGCTGCGTGTGGGAACCGGCTCCCTGGCTCGCCCCGTGTTCCCAGGAAGGCAGGCAGGGTTACAGAGGGCTGTGTCTCCATGTCCTGCCGTGCTGCCAGAGGTGCTCCAGCTGCTTGCCCAGCACAGGCAGCCCCCCAGGAGCAGGAGCAGCCCCTCTGAGGATCCCAGATCCACACACCCATCCCAGGAGCCCGATGCCAGAAGGAAACAGGAGAGAAGCTGATCCCCTGTGCTGGGAATGGGGCAGGCTGGGGCAGGTGGCTGCTGCCAGATCGTGCCTGTCTGCATTTGGGCTTCTCTTTGGAGAGGTGTGTGCCCTGTGCTGCTCCAGCAGCGTGGCTGAGGGGAGCCTGGCGGCTCTGCCAGCACTCCTGACAACACAGCAAAGCAAACACGGTGTGAACTCTGCTCTTCAGAGACTGGTGGCAGTGTCAGGGTGTGCTCCAGGTGTCACCTTCCACCCCAGGCTCTGGAGAAGCTGCACTGCTGAGAGAGGATCTGCTGTCTCAAGTGTCCAATCAGTATAGATCACTGGTGTGCTGATCAGTAACAAGAGGGTGGGAAACACAAAAATGGGGAAAAACCCCAACTAAGCAGGCACTGAACATCCAGGAGCCATCTCCGTGCTGAAGTGGGAGGCAGTACTGGAGAGCAGCTGAGGCTTCAGGCCACAGAAGCCATTTGAGGAGGTGAACATGTTTCTGGCACTGCACTAAATCCTGGGGCAGAATTACTCTGTCCACCTCCACAGCTGTGTGACAAAACCAACCAGTCCGGCCCTTCCATCAGAGCTGCCCTGTCCTGTTACAGGAGACATCCTGCAGACAAGCAGCCCTTTAAGTGACCAGGAACAGCAGATTGATTGAGAGGACACACAGGTGAAGTGATAAGCTTCCTTCAAGGCACAGGTGGAGAACATTCATTCCTGCTGTGAGAGCAAGGCAGAGCCTGTCCTGGCTAGGGGCTCTGGTGGTCTGTGCTGGTTCCCACTTTATCAGCCATTCCCAGAGGCTGCCCAGGCTGCCCCAGCTCCCTGGCAGAAGCCGCTGCTGTCAGGGCTGAGTGAACACTCCAGCCTTGCTGGTCCCCAGAGGCCAGTGGCAGGAACCCCCAGCTAAGGGCCATGCACTCCCCAGAGCATCCCAGTGTCTCTGTGGGGACCACACAGCATGTCCCCTGTGTCCCCGCAGGCTGTGTGGCCCTGTCCCCCTCTGGCTGTCCCCACACGTGTCCCCACAGGGCGCTGCCTGGCTGTGGGGTGGGTGGCTGGGACCCCGCCGTGCTGCAGTGCTGACCCTGCACAGCTCCCGACTCCAGCCCTGGGTTTAGCACCAGTGTTTGCAGAACCTTCGAGACTCCAACTGTTTATTTGCTCCTTGTAACTGAAGATGTCCCTCAGCACTGGAGAGGTTTCCTGGGAAAAGACGTTTCTCAACAAATAAATAATTTCCCGGGCGGGGATGAGGATGGAGGAGCAGCTGCTGGCTGGCTGCAGGGCACGGCCCAGGGCTGATGCTGCTGCAGAGGGAACCCTGGCCCTGTGCCCTGGAACGCATCCAACAGGGCCAGATGTTTGTGCCCAGCACAGCAGGACCGTCCCGGAGTGGATGGTGTCTGTGGGAGCTGGCAGCACCCACCCCTGGACCCGATTCTGCATCTGGGGCTGGGGGAGGAGGGGCTGCAGAGGGGGCAGAGGCAGATGAGAGCCATATAATCACAGAGCATTCTAGGATGGAAAAGAACCTCAAGACTGAGCCCAACTGTAAACCAAATATTGCTGAGGAAAGCCTAGGACCCACCTCCCTTGGCTGATGTTTGCTGTGATGGACACAATGCCCAGGTCTCCTAACACTTCTGGCAATGCTCCTGTCACCCTCCTCCTCCTGGTTTCTGCACACAGTGGGATGTGTGGGCAGTGGGCCATGGAGAGACATCCCAAGTGCTTTGTGGGGCAGGAAGCTTGGGAACGACCACCTGGGCACATCCCGGTGCCCTTGGCTGTGCCATGCCCAGCACAGGCATGCTGGAAGAGCTGGCCCTGCGTGGCTGCGTGCGAGCAGCGTGTCTGGTGCATCTGGTGACCACAAGCCCCACGCTGTGAGGGCTGGCAGGAAAATTCCGTGTCCCGCTGGCCTCATGGACGGCCTCGGTCTGCCCAGGGCCCTGAATGCCCGTTTTGTTGGCCAGTCTGGGGGAGGACTTGCCCCCTCAGTGCCCTGGTCCTGCTGCTCCATGAATACAGGCAGTGTCTGGGTGCAGGCTCTGCGCCGCGGGGCTCTGCTCCCGCCGTCCTGGGGGCTCCGGGGGAAAGGTGGCCCAGGGCTGCCAGGGCTGGGGGCTGCTGCTGCTGGGCTCTTGGCTCCCAGCCAGCCTGGCTGTGCTCCGTAGGAAGATGGAGAATGCCCTTGTATCAGGCTGAGACGAGCCTGGCCATGAGAGCCCCCTGCTCCCTGCCGTGCCGTGGGTGCCGTGGGTGCTGCCAGGGAAGGGATGTTTGCAGGTGCACCCTGCCAACCCCAGGGGCTGCCATGGCGAGGCCAGGGTGCTGTGGAGCTGGTGGTGTAAGCCTGGGAAAGATTTCTGTTTCCACTGGTGAGTGAGTCAGCGGCGGCACCGCCAAGGCCCGTGGCTCCCCTCCCTTCCCTCCGGCCACCGCCACCGCCCACCACCCGCTGCCCAGCCCTTTCCCACAGCTGCTCGGGGTCGTCAGCCTTGGCACCTGTGTCCCCACATCACACCACGTCCCTGCAGCTCCTGGTGACTCACCAGAGGCCCTGGTGGCACCAACGTTCTCCTACCAAACACATCCCTGCATGGGCAGCAAATGGGTGGGGGCACAGCATGAGGGCTGTGGCGCTGGCACTGAGCCTTCTGCTCCCCAGGGGTGACCTGGGGGATGCTGGTGTGGCTGGACACCCATGTCCCAAGCAGAACCCTCTACAAGCCCCTGGTCCTGGAGCCTGGCTGTGCCCCTACAGCTGAGCTGCAAGGGATCTGGGCAGAGGCAGCTCCTGAGGTGGAACAAGGACTGAAGTTTTGGTGCAGCCTCAGTGGGTGCCAACAGACTGCAACCATGGGCAGGCTCTGGCCAGGATGTCACCTGCCCACTGTACATCCTGCCCATCCAAAGACTGGCCACCCCTGGCTCGCCTCAGCCCCGAGACAGCTCAGCACAGAGCCAGCACCATGGGGAGAGCAGGACGCCAGCCTGGGCAGCGGGGCCAGGAAGGAGGCAAAACCACCACAAACAAACCAGCCCGGCCGGTAACTGAGAAGGAGGCGGGGGGGAATCAGAGTTCGCTGCCCGGCTGCACCGAGGACAGGAGGAGATTTTGGGAGCAAGGGCTGTGGCAGCAGAGCCACCTGCCCAGATGGCCTCATCTGCCCTTCCCCAGGCGCCACATCGCTGTCACGGGGGCTTCGAGCACCACAGCCCCCCAACATCCCTGTCTCAAGCTTCATTTGCTGCTTGCTGCTGAACTGAGAGATTTTAATCTTTTAATCACGTTATGAGCCGAGGTGGTGCCGGCCACGCACACGAGGAATGTCTGGAAGTCAGCAGCGCCTGTCGCAGCGGGAGCCCATCCTGCCCCCACCCACATGTCCCCACTGTGTGCCACTCACGGCCCCCTGTCCTCCCCAGCCCGCTTGTTCTGCGACTGGAACTGGGACCAGGGACAGAACGTGGGACAGAGACTAAGACCAGCCATCGGGGACTCGTGCCAGGACAAGGATCAGCTCACAAAGAGCTGCTGGGACTGAAACTCCCCAAAGGACCGAACACGGCGTAGTGCTCTGACCATGTGGGTTTCATTCCTCCCTTCCCATGTTTTCCGACCGAGGGGAGCGGAGGGGTGTCCATAGCCCAGCCCAGCACGGAGCCACGGCAGCCCCTGCGGAAGAACAACAAAGCCCTGGAATTAGAGATGTGCTGGGAGTTTACTTTACCACAAAAAAATGTCAGAAATCCGTATTGTTTGTACAGGGATTTGCTGGGGATCGCTAGATAAAAGCCTGGCAGGGACCCAGTCGGGGGGAAAAGTCGGCCGGCTCCTTTCTGGTGGCGAGGACCCACGGCCAAGCGAGGGGTGCATGGCCAGGAGGGCTTTGGCAGGGGCAGGGGCAGGGGCAGGGACAGCCGGTGCTGCCGTGAGCCCGAGGAGGACCTGGGAGCAGCGTGGGGCCAGGAGAGGGGATGCCAGGCTGCCCCGCGCCGGGCACCGGCTTCATACACACGGTCGATGCCAGCTCCGTGGCTGCCAGCGCACCCCCGGACAGGAACGGGAGGGCGCTGGGAGCGGGGGCCGCTCTCACCCGGGGCCCCCCCGGCAGCTCCGCGCTTGCCAAGTCCCGCAGCAGCGCCAGGGCAGCTGCTCCCCGTGCCCACGCTCAGCTGCTCCGCGCTCCCTGCGGCTCTGGGGCTGCAGCTCAGGCTGGACAATGCCAAAGCTTTTCCCCACGACGCAGCAGGGGCTGCGGTCCCGGGGTGGCACCGTGCAGGTGCTGCTGGGGGAACGCGGGGTGTGGGCAGATGCGCCTGCAAGGTGTGCGACAGCTGTGACAGCAACCCCTGGGCACTCCTGTCGGGTCAGTGGACAAGAATGGCGAGGGACAGGGACAGTGAGGGACGGGGATGGTGAGCACCCACCCTGCCCACTCCTCCCTGCCCAGCTTCAGCACAAATGACAACACACGCAGCCCACTCTCACATCTGTTATGTTTTAATACTGTTCACGTCTAAAATGACCAAAACCAAGCCAAGCGCTCGCAGCCCCTCGCTCTGCCTCACACGGAGCGTGAGAGGCCCGAGGGCTGCCCTGTCCAGTACTGGGTGCAGGCAGGTGTGAGGGCAGGTGTGCAGGTGAGTGTGCAGGTGGGTGTGCGGGCAGGACACCCCGGGCAGGCTCCTCCACGCCTGCTGCCGGAGGGGACTTGCAGAGCTCCAGTGAACGCATTTAAATAACAAACTCACGATCAGCAAAAGCAAAGGCGTCTTAACCACATTTCCTAAAATAGCGACTGGCACCTGTTCCTGGCGCCTGGCAGTGAGGGGGCCCGCCCGCCCCACGGGGCCAGGGCATGGGGCTGTCCCGGCACTGGCACTGCTGGCAGCTGATGGCACACACGGTCCCGGTGGGCATGTGGGGAGTGTGGCTGGGCAGAGGGCAGTGCAGGAGGTGCTCAGTGTGCTGGAGCAGGGCAGGCACTGCCAGCAGTGGCAGAGGAGCTGGTTTCCCCTCTATATCCCTGTGGGAAGGCCATGCTGGCCCAGCTGCCACAGCCCCAGGGCCACTTTGTCACAGGGGTGTCTGCTGGGTGCTGCTCTTACATGCTCTCCCTGCCCTGCAGTACAGTGGGCACGGTGCGGGTGATGGCCGTAGCAGATGGGGAAGGTTTTGGGGTGGAAGCCGGGCTCTTGGCACAGCCCTGGCTGGAGCTGGGGAGCCAGGGCCAGGCTGCGTCAGGGTGCCCCAGCCAGGCACGGCACAGGAGGGGTGCAGGAGTGCAGTGGGACCCGCCCGGGCACTCAGACCACGAAGCGGAGGCCGTACGTCATCTGATGGCCGTTGTCCCAGGCATAGAGCACCTTCTCCTTGGGGTTGTAGTCGACCTGCGTGGTGAAGGAGTAGTGGTTGAGGAAGGGCAGCCGGAGCTCTGCCTCTGTGTCTGTGTGCGTGTCGAAGGCATAGGAGATCTGCCCTTCCTTCTGGCTGTAGGTGTCCACAGCATAGAGGATGCCACAGATGATGAAGCAGTTCCCGTACGTGTTGCGCTTCAGCCCCGTCTTCCAGGTGGTTTCCTTGCGCACCGAGAGGTCCACGGGGTCAAGTCGGCTGAGGACAATCACCTCCTGCTGTGAGTAGTCATAGTCCACCGAGGGGTAGATGACCCAGAGCCCACTCTCATCCACAGCAAAGTCGATGTCCGAGTGGCCCCTCCACTTCCAGGGCGTTGTGTCCTCATACACCACATCGTGGAGCTGTGCCCAGCCTGCCACGTACCGCTCCTTCAGGTCGTACTTGATGATGTTCTTGGTGAAGGCACGGTTGTAGTAGAAGGCCCCTCTGTACACCACATGCCCGGTGCCAATCCAGTTGTAAGGCAGCTTATAGAGGTTGCTCCAGCGGCCTGTGAGTTGGTGGGAGAGGTGTTGGGACCCTCCCCAGCACTGGGGTCCCACGCACGATGGCCAGAGCATGCTGGCAGCAGCAGGGGACTTGTATCCCCCTTGCTGCCCTCTGGATGCTCCCCAGCTCCCCTCAGCTGCCCACCGTCCCAGGGCCCAGCCCAGCTGGTGTCACACAGCACTGGACACCCACCTAGGAGCAGCCAAAGCCCCTGTGTCCACTCACCCTGCTTGAAGCTGTCGAGGCTCCTGAACTCCACCAGGCTGTTCCCGTAGTAGTAGTTGGTGACGTAGATTCGATCATCCTTGGCTGCTGGGTCCTTCATCCAGGCCCCCTCGTTGCGCCCGTAGCTGTGGTGCTCCATGGGGGGCTCCACTGACTCGATGGTGCCCTCGCACTCCGCCTCCTTTACTGGGTACCGAGGGGGAGGAAGAGGAAGGCTTATCCCTGCCCCAGGCAGCTGAGTCCTCCTTGTCCCCCGTGGCAGATTACCACTGGCTTAGCTTGGCCAGGGGCACTGGGAGCACAGGGCTGGGTGCCCTCTCCTTGCTCACTCACCTCTGTTTGGTGTTTCGGGGTCCCGGGTGCTGTCAGCCCCCTGCCCCAGCCCAGGGCCGGGGGCGCTGCGGGCGGTGCTGCGGGTGTCCGGGGTGGTGCTGGGTGCAGCCGTGGTGCTGGGCACGGTGGTCTCCGTCTGCACAACAGCTTGGGCTGGGGTGCCCTCAGCTGAGGGGGGTAGGGGACCCCTCTCCTCCTGCTGCTCTGACACAACTGCCCCTCTCACAGGGCCCTCTGTGGGGGGACAAGCTGGGGGTCAGTGTGTTTGCAGGGGCCCCCCATCCCTGCCCTGTCCCCAGACTCACCGCGGCCGCTGGCCGGACCCTCGGCCGCTCCTGCCTGCCCGACCTTGTAGTACGTGATGCCTCGGACCACAGTCTGCTGGTGTGCCAGGGGCTTGGGCTTGGCTGTGGGCTGGGACCCCGCCCTGGCCTTGCTGTTCTCCTTTTTGGGCTTTTCGGGCTTCAACGGCTTCTCCTTGGGCGCTCGGGGGCCAGCCCTGTCCCCCAGTGCCTTGCGGGTGCTGGGGTACCGTCCTGCCTCCTTCTCTCGGCCGCCTGTCGTGTCCTGGGGGGCACAGCCTGGTCAGACCCCCTTCCCGCCCATGCCCTCCTCTTCCCTTCCAGCACAGTGCCAGGGAGTGGGCACAGGCTGCAGCCCAGGGGTTACCCCAATGCACCCACTACAAGCCTGGGGGAGCTTGGCCCTGCCTGGCAGCCCCCAGTGTGCCCTCATGGGGCTGGGCTCTGAGGTACCTGTGCCTTGCTCTCAGGGATGGCAGCTGCATCCTTCTGCAGCAGCTGGTAGCCCAAGTTGGAGATCTCCTTCTTGATGCTGATCATGATGTCAGAGTAGTTCTCGTAGCGTTTCATCTGGTCGGTGAGGTGCTGGACGCTCTCCTTCATGAAGTCATTCTCCCTGCTCAGGTTGGTCTTGATGGTCTGCAGGAGAGGAGAGGCTGGAGCCCCATTCAGGGAGCTCACGGGCAGTTCTGAGCTCTGCAGTGGGAAGCACCGTGGGGATGGTGCTGCTGGAGCTCGCTCACCTCCTCCAGGGTGTTCATCTGTGCCACCACCTTGTTGATGTAGGAGTGCACCTTCATCAGGTCCATGCTGTACAGCGTGCCCTCGAGCAGGTCCACCATGGACTGCAGCTGCAGAGGTGGCAGAGATGGGGCCTGGGGTGAGGGCTAGGGCACAGGGTATGGGGCACGGGGCAGGGGAAGGGGCATGGCTGTGCAGCATGAGGAGGGGGTCTGGTCCCCAGTCCCACCACACCACAGATACCTTGAAGAGCTCAGGGGCCTGTTTCTTCAGCTTCTCCATCTTCCACTCGTTCTCACAGGGGTTGAGTGAGGAGGGGGGCGCGGTGCAGGAGCACTTGCAGTCAGCCCCCGAGCTCACCGTCTCCACGGTGTAGAAATCCTCCACGCGAGCGCTGCCGTTCCTGACGCGGCTGCAGGCGTCCTTGCTGAGCGGCCGCAGAATGCACTTGCAGCGGCAGTCGGAGCCCTCCGAGGTCATCCGGACCTGATCCACATCACCCAGAGCCTGCAGGACATGTGATGAGCCTGCTGTCCCACCCGGGTGTCCCTCAGGGCCAACCCCAGCACACCAGCACAGCCAACTCCCTCGCTGCTGCTTGCCCAGAGATCTCTCACTGCCCCTGGGGCTCATGGCTGTGCCCCAAAGAGTGCAAGGCATTGCCTACTCCAGAGCACCCCGTCCTATCGCTCTGCACCCAGGCTGACAGGGATGAAGCCCAGGGAGCTGCTCATCCCTGCAGTCACCAGTGTTTTGTGACCCAGGTACTTCAGTCTCATTTCCCAGCCTCCAGCAGGACCCCCATGAGCAGGGATGGTGGCAAGAAGACCCAGCAGCGCCTCTGTGCCCCCACTGTGTGGGCTCCAAGCCCACACAGGGCTCGTTGTTTGTGGTGACATGCAGCCACCTCGGGGTGAGCTCGGCCCCTCAGTCTGCAGCGATGGCCCGAGGCACACGCTCAAGGACTCCCTTGTTTCCACACATGGCCCTGATTCACGCTACAGAGCCCAGGGTGCTTTTCGGCTGGTTTAGCTCATTTTAGCTCATTTCTCCCGTTGTGCTCAGGGGAGCTGAGTCCCTCTCACCCCCTGCCGCCAGCTATGCACCCGCAGGGACCCCTGGCATGGCCAGGCCACTCTGGGTGTCCCATGTGTGGGGATGTGCCTGCTCTGCACACCCCGGAGGGTGGGAGAGCAGGGAGAGGCAGTGTGGTGACCCCGGAGGGAAGAGAGCTCTGCCCACAGGGACTCTGACTCATCCTGGGAAACAGAACGGTGGCAGAGCTGGGAAACAAGCTGAGCTCTGGCTCTCGGTTCTCCCTGGAACATCAGCGGAGCACAGAGCGGCGTGGGAAAGGGCAGAGGCCCCGGGGTCCATGTCCTGCCTGCAGGCAGCACCCATGGCCACACAGGGACCCTCCTTCCTTCCAGCAGGGCTGCTGTGCTGGTGGCACTGGGGCAGGGGCTCTCCCTGAGCTGGGCATGGACCCCCAGCTCCCCACAGACCACATGGGCCAGGGGCTTCCTCCCCTTTCTGAAAGGCTGCAAAACTTGACACATTTTGCATTTCAAAAAAACCTCTTTCGTTCAAAGGGAAACCAGGTCCTGCTGGCTGAAGGGAAACACCAGGAAACCAAAGGGCTGTAAATTGAGCAGAATCTAATCAAGCTCTCAGCAGGGCGCGGGGCAGGGACCCCCTCCCCAAACACCACCTCGCCAGGCTCGCACGTCCCCGGGCCCCCTGACCTCCCCCATGGCCAGGCCGGCTCTTGTGCAAACAGGCAGAATTCACAGCCTGGCCCCTCTCCACACAGCCAGCAGCAGCTGGAGCTGTCCTGGCCATGAGCAGCGTCCTGCCGGAACTCCTGGTGCGCACACAGCCCCGTGGGAATCCCATGCGAGATCCTGCTGTGCCCCATTGGACTTCAGTTCCAAGCTGGGGTCCCCCGCTCCTGCCAGCAAAAGCGCTGTGGGTGTCTCTGCACCGTGCCCGGTGCATCTCCCCACCTGCCCGTGGGGCCGTAACACTAAACCTCGCTCTGCCGGTCACCAGCTTGCCCAAACAGGAACTACATGTTCTATTTATACAGAAATGCCCATAAGCAAGGAAGTATTAAAAAACAGGCTCCCACGTGGGGACACTCCGTGAGGGTCGCCCAGGGCGGTACATCAGCTGGCTGTCCTCTGTCAGCCCGGCCTGGCTGTACTCGGCTCTGCAGGGGACAGCCACAGCAGGGAACGCACAGACCCTCTCCAACAGCGCACAGCTGGCTGGGGACATGGGTGCAGAAGGCAGCCCATGCTGCTCTGCTTTCTCCAGGTGGGAACCTATGAGCTCCCCAAGAATCCTGTGTGGGAGGCTGATTCTTTCCTTGGATCCCCCCACTCTCTGCAGACTCCAGCCCAGGGTGCTGGCAGGCAGCTGCTGCCTCTCCTCCCGAGCGGGTCCCGGCTCCACGGGGGCTGCACACCCGTGGCTGGTGTGGGAGAATGTCCCTGCACTTTGCTGAGGGTTTCCTCACTGCAAGTTTTATGAGCTGGGTAATTTTCCCGGTTTCCGGGACCTCTTGCAAGAGCATCCATGTGAGCACAGAGTTTGTGACATTATTTGGAGAAAGCGGGACCTTTGACAATGACCCTTGGGCAGCTTTTAAGCTGTCCTGCGGCTGCTGCCAGAGGACTCGTCTCGGAGGAAAACACGCTGTGTTGATAAGCTGCCGCACCGCACGCCTCTGGCACAGCTGCCGGGAGGCATGTCCCCGTCACGGGAGGGAAACCATGTCACCCTCCTCTTCCTCCTCCTCCCAGGCTTGGCACAAGGTGTTGAACACGTCCTGCAGCTGAGGCAGAACGGTGCTGGCAGGGCTGGGCCGTGGCTGACGGCGGCCAGGCCCCGGGCGCTGGCACTGTTTGGGCGTCCCGTGTTGGTCACGGGGACACAGCCGTGCCAAGAGCCTGTGTGGCACACGCATGCCCACCGATGGGATCTCATCCAACGGCAAGAACCGAGAAAACACCTCTGAGCACAGCAGGCAGCACCTGCGGGGAGGGAGGGAGGGAGGGATGGAGGAGGCGACTGCACCGCGTGGATCACTGAGTGCTGCCAGCATCACCCCTGGCACCCCGCCGGGAACCCAAGCAGCAGGGCATTCCAGGCTTTGGATATCTGTTCCAAGCTAAGTGCTGCCGACAACAGCTGTGTTAGCGTCGTTTTCCACCAAATGTCTTGGAAAATCACGTCTTTTTAACATTTGGTGATCCTAGCAGTAGCAGCTCCCACCACCGTTCCTCTGGGCTGGGTCCCGGTGTCCCTGCGCCGGCCTCGCTACGGCCACTGACCCCATAGGAGACGTCTTCCAGCTGGAACCGAGGGCTCCTGGGTGCACGGGGGAGGCTGACTCCCCCCGCTGCCCGGTGCCGCTCCTGCTCCCCATCCCCGCGGGGGAAGGCTTGTCTGGGCTGCTCTCTCTGGCACCGAGTCGCTCATTGCAGCGCCCATCGCCGCAGCGCCGGGGCTTGGGCACCTTCCAACCGCTCGAACGCGCCCATCGCCCGGGTCATTCCCAGCGCCGAAGCCCCGCCGCGATGGGAGCACCGCCACCGAACCCCAGCCCTGCCCGGGACCCCCGCCCGCTGTCCGTGTCCGGCCGCGCCCCCTCCGCTCCGTCCGGGCACAGAGAGCACCGACCGCCGGGGACATCTCACGGACGGGGCTGCCCCTGCCCGCTCCCGACCATCGCCGTGATCGCTCCCCGCCGCGATCGCGATCCCAGTCCCGACCCCAGTCGGTGCCGGTGCCGGTCCGGTCCGGCCCGTCCTTACCGTGGCGGCGCCGCGCACCGCGGCCAGCGCCGGGAGCAGGAGCGCGGGGAGCAGCAGCGCCCGCATGGCGAGAGCGGCGGTGACCGCCCGCACCGAGCGCCCGCTCCGCCCGGCCCGGCCCGTCCCGTCCCGTCCCGGCGGCGGGGAGGAGCCGCCCGTCCCGTCCGCCCGTCCGTCCCGTCCCGCCCCGCCCCGTCCCGCCGGCGGCACCGGCCCCAGCAGCGGCGCCGCGGCGCGGGGGCGGCGCGTTCCCCCCGGGTGGAGCCGGCCGTGCCCGCCTCGGGGCTCCCGCCGTACCGGGGCTGCCCGGTGCCCCGTCCGGGGCTGCCCTCCCTCCCCGGACTGGCCGATCCCCTCCTCTGAGGGGGCAGAGTCCCGGGCCGGACCCTCGCCCGAGGTTTCCCCGGGCTATGCCCCGTGCCCTGTGCCCGGTTTCGCCCCTCTCTCGGTGCCCGATTCCCCGCTCGCGGTGCGCGGTGCCGCGGGCAGCGCTCGGGGCTCGGCCGGCGGGTGCCCCCTGCTGCCCCGCCGCTCCCGGTGCACCGGCCCGGGGGAGCCGGGGCGGGCCGGGGCGCGGAGCCCGCGGGGCGGGGCGGGCCGGGGTGCTCGGGGCGGGCCGGGGGGCGCGGCCGTCGGGGCCGGGCCGCGGCTCCCCGCGGGCGGCGCTCGGACTACGGCTCCCGTGGTGCCCCGGGGGGGCGGGGCGCGGCCGGCCCGGCCGAGCGCGGCGCGGCCCTGGCTGTCAGCAGCGCCCGAGCGGCCATGGGGCAGCGCGGCCGCCGGGGCCGCTGAGACCGCCGAGCCCCGGCCCGGCCCGGCCCGGCGCGGCCCCGGCGCCGCCATGGAGCTGGAGCCGCCCGCGGAGCTCCCGGAGCCCCGCGCCGCCAGCAAGGGGCCGCCCCGCAGCGGTGAGTGCAGCGTGAAGGGTCCGGGCGGGCCGGGGGCGCGGGGTCGGCGGTACCGGCGGCTCCGCCTGCCCGATGCGGGCCCGCAACTTTCCGCGACCGCGGGGCACAACAAAGGGGCGCTGCCCGCCCTGCCCCGCTGACCCCGGGCCGGGGCTCGGCGGGACCCGCAGCGGGTGTCCCCGGACAGCGCGGCGTTCCCTGCGAATTTCACTTGTTTTGGCAGAAATCGCCTTTTCCCCCATCCGGGTTCGGTGTCCCGGGGGGCGGCGCGGGGCTCGGTCCGGGCGCTCCGGGCGGGTGTCCCGGGGCAGCCCCGCCGGTCCCGGTACCGCCCGCCGGGTCCCGGCCGTGCCCGCGGCTGCTCCCGGTGCCCCGCGGGTGTCTTGGCTCGGTCCCTGCGAGCCGCTCCCTGCCCGCGGTTTATGGGCACCATTTGGGACCCTTTTACACTTCCCGTATGCAGATGCCGCATCTGCACTTGAATGTCCCTGCCAATTTTTATGGTTTACAATTGCATTTTACCATCTTAAGGTACTCGGCTTCTCTACAAAGGGTTTGCTCAGACAAAAGAGGCTTTTTATCAGGCAGCATCCTCGGTTTTCGAGATACAGGCGGTACCAAAAGATAGGCAATGTGGGAATTGCAGAAATGGGCATTTCTGTAACCGCCCTGATGCCTAATGTGGAGTTGTCCCTGGAAGCACTTTATTCCTCCTCGCTTAATTAGATGTCCAGTTGGATGAAAGACACTTAATACTCTTAGATACTTTAATAACACTCTTAATACTTTAATACAGCCTTAATACTTTTTGAACTTTCTGATTTAATTTGTGAAGTCTCTGTTGCTTTAGTGTCCCTAAGAGTACAACGATGTTAATGCTTTGTCTGCATTTGGTATTTTTCCCACAGATGTGGAATATTGGGGGAAATCTCTTTTGATTAATCAGATTAGCTTTAAGGGTTTCTTGTGTAGCTGCTGCTTGTGACAGACGTAGCCGTGGCTGTGGTTAGGCTTTTGAATGGGTGATGTAACAACCTTTTACTACTTTGCCTTAAAAAATGTGAAATACTGTTGCGGTGTTGAGACATTGCTTGACCTTCAGTCTTTCTAAAGCCTCTGGGGGAGGAGCAGGAAAGATTGGGTTGTTAATTCATGGTTTTATAAACTACCTGCAAATGATAATGGCAAATGAAACCCCTGAATGTTTCGTTTTCTTAAGAAAGATTCGTAGTACTTCTGATACCTCGAGGAGCAGCATCTTAACTCTTAACAAAACTAGTGAAAAATTGTATGGGGACAGAGGTATAAAAGTCAGATTGTGTTCTTGGTGTTAAAATGTTAATGTTAAAATCATTAATGAACTTAAGCTCTGCACGTGGCTTCTGTGTTAACCCAGAGTAAACTGCTGCAAGTTTATTGGCGCCTTCAGTGAGAGAAGCCTCGGGATAACTTTGAAATGCAGGGGCGTAGTTTTATTTCAGCACTTACGGGCAATTGCAGCCTCATTATTTGAGGGGACACTTGACGTTCTTAGAACATAAGATGATGGTTTTCCCTTGCCAATTTGAGTACTTCCTCTTCCATGTAAGAAACATAGTTTTTCATTGAGCAAATCAATGGCAATGTAAAACCAGGGTTTTCTTAAAAGCAATTTCTTTAAGGCATTCATTTTTCCTGCAGTAGTAGCAATTATTTCTCAATAGGGTCTCATTTAAAATCAGTTTTACTATAGCTTCAGTTGACATATTTTTCCTCTGTGAGTGAGACATGATGGCTTTTACACAGTTTTAATTATTTTGTGTTTTAGCTAAAATAGGGACACAAGAGGTTATCTAGAATTAAGGTAACTTTCTTATGTACTGTAGTCTTGGAAGACAGATTTATCAGGAAGCTACTTGAATTTTGTGTTCCTGTAAAACTGTCAGAGTTTCAGATGGGCAGATTACTGATCTGGATAAACTTCATACCAGAGAAAAGAGGAAAGTTGTCAGAGCACAAAGAATGTGAGGGTTTCAAAGAAAAACCCCTTTGCCTGCATCCCTTCCCTTTTCCACAGCATTCCCAAACTTTACTGGCACACACTGACATTTTTAGTGGTTCTTTATGCTTGGTTGCTTTGCATCTGATGAGATAAGCCTTTGCTTAACAAAGACTATTTCATTGATATAGTTGGGTCTTAGTTTACTCGCTATAAACATTTCTTTGAAGATTTAGGAAGAAAAACAAATGGAGTTGTCGAATGGCAACGTGCTGAAGTCAAATGTCTCTGAATAAACAAGAAGCTACAGTGTTACTTCAGCTCAGCGTTGGCTTGTTGGATGTGGATGTCTCTCGGTTTTGTAAATAATAAAAGAAAATAATGCATAGGATTCTGAACTTAGTTCTGTGATGGGAAATGAAAGACTTGTAATTTAGGAGCAACTTAACTCCTTTGTTTGAAGTGATGGTAAAGATGGAAAAACACCTCTTGGTATAAAGTTGGAATTTGGTATTGATGGCTTCTGTAGATCATTAATCAGGAAAATGGGTTTATGCATGCCTTTTTGTGCTGAGCCCAGGACTAGTGCTGTATGTTGAGCAGATGCAATGTGTGATGTGACACTGCAACCACAGGATTTTTTCCCTGCTTTTCTATAAAACAGTATAAAGATACTGTATTATAGAAAATGAGAGAACTTTCTCATCTGGGAGACTAATTCTTGATTGTTGGGGAGCAATAGCTTTCTTTCTGTCCTGCCTCTGGCAAGTCCGTTGTGGCATTTCTTTTTTTGGTGGGGAAAATATGCCAGTGGTTTATTGAATTACTGTTCACCTCCTACGTGGTAGAGCTTTGAACAGATGCATTTACACCAGCATTCTGTGAGAATGGGAGCACAGTTTATCCTGTTGATAAACTGCCTATTTAAATAAAGCCTTCAGCAGTGTAATCTGGTAATTCTAATTAAGTCATTTACATAGGGAATTGGCCCAGGGTTTCATCAGATGGCTGCTGGGGAGCTGAAATGCATTCTTTCCCTCCAGCTGTATTAAACCAGCCTTTTGATCCTGTCCTTTTTTTAGCCTTTAAGCCAAAGTGGTTATCACTGTGCAGAGTTAATTGAGAAAGGGAAGTTGGGGGACAAGGGGACCCTTCGAGCTTTAGCTTTGGTCTTAATTATTACAGTTCTAATTACATAATTAGAAGACTTCCAGATTTTATGTGTTGATAAAAATGATTCTGTACAGGTTTTGTTAGAAAGAGGAAATACTCCACGGAGAGGCTGGCTTCAGTGAAGTTCTTTATTGGTAAATGATTGCCAGTAACTTATCTGGAAAGCAGTATATGCCTGGGGTATCTGAGTTCTCCCCCAGCACTTTGATAAGGAGGTTTCATTTACCCAGGGTGGACCCCCCGTCCTTCAGAGAGCACAAGTTACATGTCTAACTTCCATTGCCTAATCATCCCAGCTGTAGGCTTGTAGAGGTGGTGAAATTTAAACTTAGAGAAATGTCAGGTCAGTGTGAAAGATTAATTTTTTTAAGCCCTTTTTTCCTTTGTAAAAAAAAAAAAAAAAAAGCCCAGTAAAAATCTATCACAGCTCTAATGCCAGGCTGACTGCAAACTGCTGTGATGTCCTTGTCTGGAAATACCTCCCAGCTGAAACTTGAGGGGAAATCTTCAGTAGTTTTTGTGGGAACATAATCTAGGACTGTGACATCCCTCGGACTAAATCCCAAATTCTTAGTTGGGTGAAGCCTCCCCAGCTGTTCGTGCAGGGGCTGTGGGTTGCAGTGGTGGTACAGAAGGTGTGCTGGGCTCCCTGCACTGCTCACAAACCTGCTGCTGCTGCACTCCTGAGCTGGCAATGAGCACGGGGCTCCTGTCAGTGTTAAGGTTTATTCTGATTATTGCTGCTGAGAAGCCCAGGGTTTACCTGCTGGAATTGCTGTGGAGCCCTCAGATCCTGAAGCCAAGTGATTAAATGATGGCTGTCGTGGTTGTAGTAAAAATCTGTGAAAGAACTCTGAGTCTCTGAAAGTTCTGCCAAACACCAGCTTGTCCTCCAAGAATCTCTTCATTCAGTCTCACAGCTGTAGCTGTATGTTGTTTGGCAATACTTACAAGGAATTATTCCTAAGTATGTTGTTTCAGATGTCTTGTGAGTGCTTTTGCCAGGAGACTCTATCCTCTGCCTGTTTTACCAACAGTGCTAAGGAAATGCCCTTTCTGTGGGTCACAGGCAGGGATTATTCCTACCTGCAAATTTACTGTACTCGTGGTGTTGTTCAAAAGTGAAGGGAGCCAGTGTTGGGTACCAGTTTGCTGCTGTACCAAGCTCAGGGTGTGGCTGCTTTGCTGCTGCTTTTTGAAGATTTTCTTTGCCCGGTTCTGTTTTCCTGCTTACCTGGTACTGCCAGTTGGGTCCATCACCTTAACACTTGAGCTGACCTTTAGTATTTCACTTGGATTTACATAAGGGCTCTGCTCAGTGAACTGTCCCTATCACAGGATGATATCCATAAAAATGACACTTCCTAGTCTTGAAAAAAATCCCCAGGCCCATTGGAGACATGTGAAAAGGACACCCAGCAGGAAGAGAGGCCCATGGCCTGAAATATTCATCAATCATTTTCCTGGCACCAGGAAACCAATCAACTCTTCTAAGGGGGAGAGTGTAATCAATCACACAATGTGGGAAACAGGGATTGCCAGCCCTGCCAGAAATGTTCCTGCATGTGGACAGAAGGAAAGGGCTGTGCTGGTCCTTACTCACAAGTGGTAACTTACACCCTCTGTGCAAGGCTTTTGTAAAAGGCACTCTGTGCACACCACAGGCTGTGCTGCATCAACCCCAGCCTGCACTTAAGGTTTTGTTTTCAGTAATGCTGAGTTGTTTTGTTCTTAGATTTTTATTTTTTTTTATTTACCTCTTTTCTGTAGCTGGTAGGTGAAGGGTTTGTTTCCTGTTCCCAAACCTCCATGTTCTGAAGTGGCAGGTTCAGCAGCATCATGTTTTTATCTACAGGATCAGAATTTTAAAACTTTGCACTTTTTTTTAATGAAAAAAAGTTTGAAACAGCTTCTGTTGCAAGCTGGTACAGGGGAGGAAATGCACCTCTGGGTGTTTGACCTCTTTTTCTATCTTTGGTTATGCTAAAAGAAGTATCTATAGATTGCCCAATAAGAAGTGAACTGTAGTTGCCAACATCTGTAGGATAGAGATTATTTGAATTCATGTAAGAGCTCAAATAAGAAATACTACAAAGTATTCTAGTAAGATGCTGTAAGTTGGAATAAGAGAGCTGTTTATAGCTTTTTTTTTTTTCCCTAGGAAAACCTTTGTAATAGTTGCTGCATAAGAAATGCCATAATCGTGGCAAAATAAATGGCAGTGCCACCACAGCCTTTCTCATCTCCTTTAGCCCAGTGCATCGTGCTGGGATGGTTTTTCCTGAAGAGAGGGAGATGTTTCAGGCATGGCCATGGTCTGTGGCTGGTGGGGTGCAGGGGGTCCAGCCTCACCCACCACTGCCCAAGCAGAACACGACCATCTGTGGAGCACCAGTGCTGAGCAGCTTCAAAAGGGAGAATACAAATGGATCTCCTGTAGCAATGTATGTAACAATTATTTTAAAACTGTAAAACTTGTAATCATGTGTCTTCCAACATAGATTTTAAAAATTATGCACTGTCTTTTCATGGAAATTGGCAAAACATGAACTGCTGTATTATTTAATTTACATTAAAAGTCAGTTAAGATTCAGATTGTTCTTAAGAGCAGCAGTGTATACTAAATTCAATCCAAAATTAATTTTTCATTGAAGAGATTAGGAGCCTTCTCTTTAAAAATGTAGATATTTTCCTGCATTTAAGGTAATTTTCTAGTACAAGTGGAGACAAATATCAGGAAGGCTTTTTCTATTCTGAACAGCATTTTTATATCTGTCAGCCGGTTTCTGATGTGCTTTTTAAGATTCTTAGATGTCTTACCACAATTAAAAGCTACTAAGAGATGAGGCATCCTGCAAAATGAGATTATAGCAATAGGCAGATGTGGCTGGAATGAGCCCCAAAGAGAAAGGGAAGTGTTTCTGGAATTGCAAGCAGCAGGAGCTAATACGGTTTGCAAACATGGGAGACAGTAGGCAGAGAGGTAGGTGGGGAGAAAGAATCAAATTTCCCTTGATTCCTGCCCGTTTGTAATCCCTATCCCTGGGAGGCCAAATGCTTAATGTGAGCCTTTCACTGCAACAAAACCTGGGCTGCTGGTAGTGCTGGGCTGAGAGGGAAGTGCTCCGTGGGGCTCTGATCACTGAATTTCATCAGCAAGATGCTGAAATCATTAATAGAAGGAAAACCTGAAGTCTCAAGCACTGGTCAGGTATTGCAGCACGAGCCACAGGCACTTGCTGGTGGTCTGTGGGAAGTGGAGATCTCACAGAGGTGAGAGGGCCACACCATTTCTGGTCCCATCCTGGCAGGTGTCCAGTCACAGGGGAATTTCTAACCTGGTGCATTGGTTGGGGTCTAGAACAACTTGCCCCTGGGAACACTGGCTAATTTGCAACACGATTTCTGCCTTATTCTGTGTATCACAATATGCTTTTATTTATCAGGAGATCACTATTAATCTGCATTGATGTTAGCTCTTCAAAAAACAGCATCTCTTGTATGATATCAGTCAATTCTGTTTTTTTTAATATAGGTAATTCTACTGGACTCTAGATGGATTTTGCTAAAGTGGAATGCTTTGTGTTGGCCAACAGTTTATCAGTGATCAAAAAGTCAATAAAGAATTTCCCCAGATTTACAGACTGATTATGCAATTGATCTTTCAATATTGGAGTAGGCTGGGCTGCCTGGTAGGCAATATCCTAATAAACCAAAACGTCCTCGAGGCAGAGAAGATGCAGAAATCTCATGGCCAGGGACAAAGACAATGTGCTTGTGGGCTGGGGTGCTGTGTGTGAGAGGCACTGGGTGTGTAACAGAGACATGATCACCTTCTTTCAGCACAGGCTTTTTTCTTCATCATAATTTTTCTAAAAAGCGTTTGTGCTTGACTGTGCTTTCCCTTTTGGTAGCCTGAAAGTCTAAAATAAGATGCCAAATGTGAGTCCCCTTCAGAAGAATGAGCTGGCTGAGAGCTGTCCTGAGCCTTGCTGTTACCACGAGCTGGCTCTGAGGACATTTCCTCCACGTCACCCCATTTTTCAGGAGCAGAGCCTGCTGAACCTCTCAGGGAAGCCTTCCAGAACTCCCAGAAATCACAGAGGGCTTCTGGAAACCCAGCCCATAGGGAATGTGGTAATGCTGATAGCACAGCAACATGCATCTCCTTTCTGCTTTGATTTTTGTGCCTCAGGAGGCATGTCAGGAATCCTGTGACTTTTGATGGCATCAATAAATCAGCTACCATGCTGACAGAATTTTACTGGAATGTAAACAGGCATTTAAAATAACAATGTTTGTAGAGAGTGTATTGAGAATACAATGCAGGTACAGGGAAAATTCAGCTCCATGTAGGTTTCCTTTAAGTTTTGTTGATAAGCAGGAACTGGAATTCTTGTCCATGTAAATGAAAATAAGTAAAAATATTTCTCATGAGATGACCTTATTTCCCACTCCTCTCTGCAAACAGCGTGTGTTTTCAGTGCTGAGGTGAGAAGCTCTACCCAATGTAGGGGAAAGGGGAGGAATGTCTCTGTATAGTAAAATTTAGCTGATAAGGGATAATGAATCACCTTTGACTCAGCTCTGCTGAGTAGTAGCTGCTCTGGGGAACTGCAGGGCTGGTGAGCCTCGTCTCAGTCCCTCAGTGGGAAGGGTATGGAGCAAATCCTCCCAAAAGGCATTTCCAGGCACTTGAAGGACAGGAAGGTAATTGGGAACATTCACTGTGGGTTTACCAGGGGGAGAGATCATGCCTGACCAACCTTGTTCCTTCTGTGATGAAATGATTGGATCCATGGATGAGGAGAGGGTAATTTTGTCGTTAACTTTAGCATTAGGCAAGGCTTCTGATGCAGGCTCCCATGTCATCCTTGCAGGCACTTTGGGTGGGAACGAGGACTGTTGGGTTAAAGGGTGGCAATCGAGTTCAAGCTCTGGTGGCCATTATGCTGTGATTGTCCTTGGGAGTCAGTGTTGGGGCCAATACTATTGAGCAATTTCACCAACCACCTGGATGGTGGGATGGACAAACCCCTCAGCCTCGCAGATGACACCAGGCTGATACTCTGGAGGGCACAGCTGCTGTTCAGAAGGACCTCAATAACCTGATGGAAAAGGTTAATTGAAACTTCAGAGTTAGACAGACACAAAGATCAAGCCCTGCACCTGCATAACCCCATGGAATGTGCAGGCTGGGGAGCAGCTCAGCTCCTGGAGAGCCTCACAGCTGGGTCAGGCTGGGCTTGTGGCAGCTCATGGCCACGAGCTTGGCAGCAGCACTTGGTGCCTTCTGTGGGACATGGCAGAGCCACCTCTGGAGCAGGCTGAGCCTGTGCCAAGTGCATCTCTGCTTGTAGCCCCACAGATCCATGTGTGTGACTGATCCTGGCAGAGGGGCAGCACCATGGCACTCCCTGAGTGAGCACCTTCTGCTCCTTCCCACCTCGGGATCCCTGCAGTGCTCGGGGCACCCTGTGTCACCTGCTGAGCCCCTCCATACCTGAGATGGGGAGGGGGTACCACAGCTCATCCTCAAAGTCCAGTGCTGTGTCACAGGTTCAGGCTAAGTTCATTTCTAGGAGTAGCTCATATGCTCCTTCAATTAGCATAAACAGGAACAAGGGCAGGCAGAGGTCAAGAGAAGTTCAAAATAGTATAAAGTCTTTTTGCTGGTGTTCCCAAATGTTTCTGATTCTGCAAAGTTCTCCATGCTGGCCTTGCCAGTGTGTTTACCAGACCATTGTAAAAGTCAAAGAACAAGGCCTGGCTTGATACAAGGAAAGTCAGAAATCGAGGGGTTGAGAATAGGTAGCATTGTTGCTTAAAACAGGAGAAATAATTGATTTATGTTATGGTGGCCAATTAGGCTGTAAAGTGAAAAACCTTAAAGAAACCCTGTGGCTTCAAGGGAGCTTTTTGCTCTGATTCCTACTCGGCAAATAACGGTACCCCAATAAAGGTCATCAGCTCCATGAGCTGAATTATTAATTCCTTTCATGCCACTCAGGGCTTGTAAACAGTATATAATACAGGAAAACAATTGGCACTGTTCACTGAGTGGGCAGAGGAGAGGTCAGGAGGTAAATTCTTGTATTGGCAGCAGCCGCTCTTCACAGCTGAGCAGACTTCTGTCCTTTTCATCTTTTAGAGCAAACCACTTTCCAAAATCTTAGTCTGGTTGTTAGTCCATATCTCTTCTCTCATAGATGAATTGTTTTTAGGAATTTAATAGATAACATATAAGTATGAAGATAAAGAGGGCTGGAAGGAAGGGTGGGGGATTATGGATAAGAGAGCAAACCAGCATTGCCATGTTTCATAAACAGCTGCTTTTTTTATATTGAGAGAAATTTTTAAATCTATCTATTCAAGGTGGGGTGTAGAATAAGCAGTAGTGCTTTTATGTGCTTACAAAAAAATCCAAGTGTGATTTTGAGATTAATATGTTACAAATACCATCTGCCAGCAGTAGCACAAGACCAGAAATGTTGATGTATTGCTGCTCTTGGATGCCACAGCTGTGCCACGTTCCTGCAGCACAGGGCAGGACTGGGAGGGAATTCTAACCTCAAACTTGAGCAGCTGGGTGGTGTGAGCATGGTGTCTGCATGGGTGAACATATTACAAAGAGTCATTAAAACACATAATTTCAAGCATGAGCTGAAATTTCCAAGTCTGGCCGAGAAATAGTTCCACTTTGTTGTTTGCAGCCTGTAACGTGGCATTACAATGAACGATCTAAAATTTCAGGGCTTGGAGAATTTGCGCTGCTCTTCTCTAAACACTTCCCGCTCAGAAGCCTCTCTTCGGAAGGCACATGCATTATTTAGTTGCTCTTTGAATGATACTTGATAAACTATTCCAGATGTTGGCAGGTGTAGCTTACTGCCCTAAGTGACTGCTGCTCTCACAGCAGCTTCTCGAGTGCCTGCCCTGTGCCATCTGGCCAGTGCTGGGCAGTGACCTCTGTGTGCCAGAGCAGCAGGTAACCTCAGAGTGACCATCTGCTGGCTTGGTCCCTCAGCCTCCCCGAAAGCTGACTTGTGCTCACTGCTGACTCTGCACCACTCTCAAAAGAGTCAGAGTAACTTTAACCTGCACTCAGTTTTTTGGCTTGATTTGGATGTATGTGAATACAATGTCAATAGGCAAAAGCTTTTTCCAGGAACCTGAAATGGCTGTATTACATATGAAGAATCTTTTATTTATTTATAAAACATGAATAGTATATGGCTTGCTAGTTCTAAATTAGGGACACTATAGTATTAGGGTGGAAAATAGGAAGATGCCAAATAATTTTTCTTCTGTGAGCACATCAGACCTGTGCAGTGTAATCCAGAGCCTGTTGGGAGCTCTGCAGTCAGCGTGGCACATGCAGCTTTCTGAGCACTGCTGCAAGAGCCAAGCAAGATGATAAATTAACGTGTAGATGTTCTAGGCAGTAAATGCCTTGGTAATTCAGTGGGGAATAGGACAGGAAGAAACCAGGGCATTGCTGAATAAATCTGTAATTGTGTTTATTGCTGTTCTCAGCTATGGCTGGTGTTTAATATGATGAACTAAAGCTGCTGCTTTTGAGTAGCTGCACCAAGGAGGCTCAGAGTGGCACCAGAGTATGGCAGGAGGATTGTGTGGTGCAGTGTCTGCTCTCACGTTCTGTAAAAATGGGCTGCTGAAGTGTTTACTTTTGTTTGTGGTTTGCCTAATTAGAGCAGAACTTTGCACTTTCAGTGTAAACAGTGGTCCTGAGGGAACTGCCTGCTGCCTGAGAAATGGGAATTGCAAGAATGTGAAAGGCAGGATTTGGGCTGGCAGCAAAGCCTGGCTGTGGGCTGAGCTGTGCTTCTGGGGCTGTGTTCTGTGGTCAGGAATGTAAACTTGGAATGTGCATTTATTGGGTCTTAGAGCTAAACAAGAGTTACAGAATATATAATTATGTGGGACCTACCAGCACCAAATCATGGAGATGGAGACTGATGGTGACTGGAGATGGGTGTTGGTGGTGATGTGCTGAGAGGGGCTGTGGTCTTTTGAGAGAGACCAAGCCCAAAAAATGCATCTTGGCTTTACCTAATCTTGTGTTAAAACTGACCCTGTTAGTGCAAGATGGTTTTCTCCTGGTTTGGGGCCTGGAAAGGTGGGTCCTTTCCAAAACACAGAGGGCAATCTGGCATTTGTTTCTGATCATGCTCTGACTTTGAGGGTTTTCACTGGCAGATACAGGCAGGAAGTTCTGTTTCTTCTTTCAACTGTTAGAAAATAAAGCTTTGGAGTGGCTTGTGCTTAAAGACACTTGTTTCTGATGCTGCTCCAGATCAAATTCCAGCAGCTTGCCAGCCTTTGGAAGAGGATCTCTCTTCTGATCAGGAATCTTTTGAAGGTTCACTGGACACAGATGGGAGATCATGATGTCCTTTCATTCCATAGTAATGCTCTGCATACAGTTTAAACCTGATGTAATTTAGACTTTCTTTGTGCTGGAAGTTGCTCTGAATTGATATTCTCAAACCATCACAAGTTACAAATTATAATATGACTGCTGAGAAGAGTAGATCTACAGATAATGTGTATGATAGAAATACCTTGAAAGGGGGAAGCTGGTGCTGGTAAAACGACCTGATTCTCAAAGCAGTTTCCTCAGGTGATTGAAGACATGTGTATTCGATTTCAGTGTAAATGAAAGTTTTCAAAATAAAACCTTCTCAGTAACATGCACATCACATCTTTCTCATTTTCACTTTCCCATTAGCTACAGATGTGGAGCAGATGAGTTCCTCCTCTCCTGTCCTCCCTATGAACTCCATGGGCAGTAAGTACCCCTTTTCTTGCCATGTGTGACCAGGTAGAATTTCTCATTCTATGATAATCCAGAGATGTGAATTGATACTCCATGGTAGAGACTTGGAGAAGTTTTACAGCTGATGCTTATTCATGGAAGTGGGGATTCCCACAGCTGAGAGCTGATGAGGAATTTCTCACAAAAGTAGCACAGACCAGGTCTGCACATCACTATTTACACCAGCAGCGTGCAGGCTGTGTAAGATCTGTTGCCATCAGAGATATTTCAGTGAAGGAGATGCCTGCATGAGTGATAGAAACCCCTGAGGTGATGTAAATTATGTTGACATGGGAGTATTTTTCTGCAGTGTTTCATTATTATATTTGAAAAATCTATAGCCTGGAATTTCTCATTAAACTGGGAGCAGTTGGTGAAATCCTCCTCAATTTCAGGATAATTCTGGGCCTGTAACTTTTTGAGACTTTGAAAACCTGAGCTGCTGGACACCTAAAAAAGTAGGAATTCAGAATTCCTTTGTAACGCTCCATCTAGTGGCATTTGCTGTGCGGAGGGACCAGTCAGTGGGAATCCACTAGATGGCAACAGGCCCTTGTCAGACTGGTGGGACTGGGCTGAGAACCCCTCATCCAGAGCAACTTTTCATCTCATTGTTTGAGAACTGGGGATTTTTCAAATGTGGCAGACTTTTAACTGACAGCTCATTTCAAAAATAATACTCAGATGTTCACAACTGCTAAAAGCCTCCCAGGGCCAGGACATGGTCCTTTCCATGTGCCTTTGTGCTGGTGGACTTGCACTTACTTTCACTGCACAACTGTGGTTCCTGTATGATGGGAATGAAAATCTGGTTCCTTCCTTTATGATGAGAAGAGCCCAGTAGGATGCATGCATGGCAGGCTCTGAGTTGTGAATGTGTGTGCAGTTATTTGCCTGTTGATTAATAAAACACATCTTTGTAGGTTATCTAGCTACGTTTTCATGCAGTTTTATATTTCATGCGGTTTTATATCACTTTTATATGGAAACAGGTAATTTCACATGCATATGTAGAATAATTTGTCATCTAGAGACATGTTAGTTCATGACAATATATTGGCTAATACTGTTGAATCTTTGTGGCCTGACATAGCTCATATTTACTCTTGTGCATTGACAGGTATTAAAACATAACTAAAATTTCCATAGTGTTCTCCCAGCAGAATGTATCTGCAAAACAAGGGCAGGGCTATCCAGCATGAGCTGACTGACCCTCTTTCCCCCTTAAATTACTGTATGTTACTGCCAGTGTGCATTTGTCTAGCTACAGCTTTCATGTCTGTTATTACCTTTTGCTAAACTGAAAAATGCTTGTCTGTTCCCTATGAAGATATTTATATAAACTTTTGATAAACGAAATAAACCGAGCTACTCGAGTTCTTTTGATGTCTTGCCGTCTCTGGATCACCTGGTCAGTGCTGGTGGCCACTCTGGTCAGTCACGACAATGTCCCAGCCCTTGCTGGTCTCTGGTGTGGATGGATGAGCCCTGGCAATTCCTGCTGGGCAGGTCCCAAACTGCTCCAGCCCCAGCTGTCCCGTGGCTGCAGTGGCAGCACTGAACGTGTTGGTGCTCAGTGTCACCCTCATGTGCCCCGGGGCAGGGGGTGGTGGCTCTGGTAGGCAGCAAACAGTTGCTGACACAAACATCTAAAGCTTCCCGAGCATGGATTTAAAAACATTCTGAACATGCCTGCTAAACTGTCTTTCCTTAGTGTTTTCCCTTGTTGCCTCCTTACCAAAATTAAAGCAGAAAACAAACAAAAAAAACTAAAAAAACCCAAAACGCAAACCAAACAAACTGGAGGATTTTTTACAGCCACGTAGGAACCCAAATTTTAAGCTTATCTGTGCATCCAGAGCCTTTTGAGAGGTGTGGAATGTCTGCTCAAGCCTTTGGCTTATCGTGCATTGGCAAACTGGGGTAATGGCCCCTTTACTGTAATTTTCCCTGTTTGTCTGAAATGTCTTATCTTATTCAGAGTAATTGCAGTGAATTATTTTCACATGTCCTTGCAGTAAAGATGAACACCTCTGTCAGGACTTCGATATTTTCTACTTTCATGCAGGTATACATGAGGAAAACCAGTTGGCCGAAACGCCTGTTTAAAATAACACAAAAGAGCTTTCTTGTACATCATGTAAGATGTCTCTGGAAAAAATCCAAATTGTGCACTCTCACTTCCGAATGAGTCTGCCAAGCATGCTGAAAAATTTGAGATTTCAAAGGCAGAATGTCAAACTGCATCAAAAATGAGTCATTTGTCTTGTTTTCATAATGTTAAAACAATTTGGCAGGCATGCTTTTGGGCTGTTCACTGTTACACTGCTGTGGTAAATCCCTGTACCACCACACTTACCTGGGCTGTCGCTGGAGGTGCTCACTCTGGGTGACTGAACAGGGCTTTGCTATCAGACTCAGGGAGATTTTTTTCTAAAATTCCACTTTTGCAAAGTTCAGTCTGTTTAGTGTGTAGTTGTTGAACTGGGTGGAGCTGTTCCTGTGTAAAATTGAACAAGTTTAAGTCTTTTAACAGAGCAAGCAGATATATTTTGACCAAAGTGGAGTTTAGGAGTCCTTGGTGAGTTGTTCTGACTTGAGCTGTACAGAGGGGCTCGGTTCCTGTGGGGCAGCACAGCGTGTCTGAACAGGCTCCTTCAGGATAATCCTGTGAGCAACTGGAGGAGCAAACAAAGCATGAGAGAAGTGCTTGGACCCTCTGCTGCCCAGGGAATTGAGTGACACCACTGCTGAACAGAGTGAGCTCCACCGTCCCTGCTCTGAGTGGCCTGGGGGCACCACAGGAGCCTCCTTCCTTTACTGCATGGCCCTGTCCAGAGATAGCTGTTCCCAGAAATGCCCCTATGTCATGCCAGTCATGTGGAAACACTTGGAGGGCACCTCTTCTGTCTCAGGGCAGTGTCAGGTGTGTCTGTCTTGCAGAGATGTGTCTGCTCCTCCCTGCCTGCCCCAGGCAGTCAGCTCCAGCTCCTCACCTCTCCAGTGTAATTGAAGCTGGCCCTGCCCACCACAGCCCTGAAGAATGCTCTCTGCAGCAGTACCTTAAATCACTGTTTTCTGCTTTGCTTCCTCCATTCCAAAGCCCCACAGTTCAGTCTCTTTTCATCTCTCACTGGTCACTTTGTAGGACCAGTGCTCTTCCAGAGCTTGGCTCGCTCAGGGGGAAGTTTAATTTCCTATGAGCTGGTAAAGCTGTAGGTTTATGCTTTACTGATCGATTTACCTATTGGTGTCACTTTTATTAAAACTGAACAAGCTCCTCAACTGTTCTGCTCCTTTAAAAATCCTTGTGCATTTCTTAATTAGCACTCAGATTTGCTCAGGAAGGAGCTGGATGACGTGTCCTGAACTTCTCTGGTGGGACAATGGCACAGCCATAGACCCGCCTTGCACAGTTTGGGGAGGCAGAACTTGGATATGGCATTTCTTTGGCAAAAGTGTCTCTTTTCTTGCTGGACAGGCCACCCTGGCCATGTGAGTGGGTGGTCCTGGGCTGTGTGAGCGGGTGGTCCTTGGCTGGCTGGTCCGCAGTTTGCATTCATTGATCAGTGAGTTGATAGAAATGAAAACCCACCGACAGCAATGAATGTTGATTGCAGCCATTAGATGCTGAAGGTGCCACGCCATGGTGATGGTGCTGTCACTCTAGAGCAGCCCAAAACAAAATTCCCTGGCATATGCTTTGGGACTTTTCTTATTTTATGGATTCTGCAGTCCCTGTACGGGCAGAACAAATGTCTGCACCCTTGTGAAGGCACCCACTGCCAGAGCCTGCAGTCACCCAGCTGGGCAGGAAAAGGTTCCCTGCAGGTACGTCTGAGATGGCCAAGCCCTTGGCTTTCTGTGCCTTTGAAAGGAAGGCGTTTCCCTGCTTGCCTGGCTGCAGGGGACAGCCTGAGCTGCAGGAGCAGCTGGAACTGGCCAGGAGGGAGCTGCTCCTCACCCGGCCCTCCTGGTGAGCAGCTGCTGGAATCGAGTGCAGGTTCCTGGGAGCTAATGAACTCACATTCCAAAGCTTTTTCCAGCAAAGCTCAAGTTGCCAGCCCAAATGGAAAGGTTTCCCTCCTGATCTGGCGTGTATTCTGCTATTTTGAACGTATACCATGCTCAGATTTGTTTCCAAGTGTCCCATATGGTGTGGATACGTTCCTGCTTTTGTGCTGCCCATACAAAACCTTCCATTGATCTCTTATGCTCTGTTCTGCAGAAATTCTATGCTAGTATAAAGCTTTAATTCCTTTTTTTTTTTAAGAGAAAACAAGCATTTCTTATACACCAATTCACTTTCAGAGAACGTAGAACTGGAAAAACTCAACCTCTGTAGCTCTTAATATAATCTGTAAATCATGACCTGCTAATGGCAACCACATGTGAAATCTCTGAAGGTTCAGGCTTTCCATTTAACAGAGGGTTTGTGATAAACCTCAAGGTACAGTCAACGGTCGATGGTTTTTTCTAGTTCTCAAACTCACCGACAGCGTTGAATGTTCACTGAAGCTATCCAAAGATGGCTGTATACATGTACAGATTTTCCATGCATATGTTTTCCATAGACTGGCAGTGGAAACACTGCTGAGGACTGCACATTCTTTATTGTAAAGCCTTAAACTGCAAAGTATTTTAATTACGGAATGGAACCTCGAGGACTAATGAATTGCAGAAGTGTAACACTCTGGTTATGGATGCTGAGTTGACTTAGTATTTCTTAAACCAGCTCTGAATATATCGGAGATGCAGTTGTGGAAAAAAGCCCTTCCTCTTGTGGATATGCATGTTCTCAATAGCAGCACTAAGGATATTTATAATGATTCAGATTTCTTTATAAAATTCATTTGAAAAAAACCTGGGGGTGGGGGGCTCACCCATAGTGCTAAACCAACAGAAGTGAGAGAAGGGGATCTACTTAGTGGAGTACATGATGTCTGTATTTCCACAGCTCCTGTCCCTGTTCT